AACCTGGGTTATGTGAGTGGAGTTCATAGAATCTTACAATCTTATCTAGGCGACCCAATCGGTTTTAAATCGTAAAGGCAGAGTTNCCATCGTTTCGATCTTCAACATCCCCTTTGTTAAAATCTAGCTGTTTCGACAATTTTAAAAAATGTTGCGAGGGAACATGAATCCCTTATTAGCACTGTCTTTTTAAGTGACCCTAGGCATTTACCCAAATTCTACCTACCCATGTACCGTCCATGTTTGTATTCGTGGCATCGTGAAGTCTCAAGTACCTCAGTGAGGGTAACGCTTTCACAACACGACACACCATAGAGTCAACCCTTGTCGTTTCGATTTGTAGTTTGCTTTTTTCATTTGGAACCCCAAACAAGTCGCTGTTACAGTAATGGCCTCCAGTTCTGAATGGAAATCCCTTCTGTACTCCTGCTCACTAGCATTCCAACCTCATTCACAGTCACTAGTCCAGACTTAGCTTTAATTTCACCTATCTCTGGTCTGAAGAAATGGCGTCCCTCATTTAGCACTTCCTAAACAAAACTTTTTTTCGAAATTTTCTTTCTAAAGATAAGAGAGATAAGTGAAAGATATGCTCGTTTCTTGAGATACTATTCTGGAGAAATGCTTGTTTCTTGAGATACTCACTATTCTGGAGAACTGTTAGCCGACAGGGCAGTCGACACAGACGGCACAGACGATTTGGGATGATAGCATTGAACCCAATAAATAAATAAGCATTTGTACAACACCCGAATGGACTGCTCTCGTCCAAACGGTGGAGCATTCTGTCGGACTTGCTCCAAGGCTCTGAATGATCGCTGTTTCCTATTCTTGAGGAACATGCTTTGTGAATTTTGTCTCTAAGTTCGAATTAATTCAGCTGGTCGTAATTCTGTCTAGTTTGATGGCTTACGATGCGCTGATACTGATGTTTCCGCTCATTTCCTTTCAAGTTCCTCATATCCAGCCTCTCATTTCAATCCATAATGAGATCATGCTTGTTACCACAAGGCGGATAGTGAAGGAAGATTGATCCAAAGGATTCATTTCTGAAAAATGTTCTCCTGTCATCGATGACGCATGATTTGGACGCATAGGTGACTCCCACTTCTGGGAAAGCACCCTGACCAAACCAAGGACAGATAAACAGTGAAAGAAACTCTCGAACACCTATTCTGTAGTGGTAAACAACCAGAAACTTACTCGAGCGCCCGGTTTCTCGATCTTCTCATAGCAGTTATTAACTGTGCATTGCTCATAGACTATTTCTCGAAGCTTCAACATTCTCGTCAGTGGTTCAGGCTCGATATCCGTCTGAGGCAGACATTTTTGTTGAGTATGACGAAAAAAGTAGTTGTTGACAAATAGAATCAATCAATGCACATCACATTCACAACGTCGTGGTTCCTCCGCAATCGGTGGAAAGACCGGTGCATGTGGCTCAATCGATCAGCGAATGACAGGGGTTTCACTGGTGATTGATGAAGATCAACAAAGATCAGCGAAGATCAACGAGGTGTCGCAGATAGAAAGGATAAGCTTTGCTCTCCGGCACTGGAATGTGCCATGCTCTTTACCTCCATTCGGAATCCAAGCAATTAGTTGAGCGGAGTTCAAAACAACTCCCAAGTCATGCAAATCTAAGACTTTCATAAAGCAATTAGCAAGTGGCAAACTATCACGCTCGCGGTCCTACCGAGTCCAGAATCGATACTCGCCCAGGCCATTCTGTCCTTCCCTTCCTACACGGTGGGTTAATTGGTATCAAGCTCCAGTTAACCGACCATGTATGGGGGCACAGCAGGTCACATTTAAAACACCACTACGATTCTAAATGGAAGTCCAATGCGGGGCGCATCCGAAACGCTATCCGTCCGCGTCAAAAAGCCTTCCATCTTTAACATTTTATCCTTGATTCGATCAATTACTTCTATAATATTTTATGGGGTCAAGACGATAACCTTTCTTGGGATTAAAGAAGGAAGTGGCGAGTAACGACGTCAAACACAGAGATAGTATAAAGCAGAACATTTGACAAATGGACAATCGTTTTCATTTTGCAGATAACCGAGCAAGCAAAGAAAAACTCTCCGTGTTGGACAAATGGAATCTATCCTCTCAGGTGCAGTATTACTGTCTGTATTAGAAACCTCTATGGCCATATATGGCTGTCCTACTGGTGGTTTACTGTCGAGTGTTCTCGGAGGTGTTGGCAGCGGTTATGGTGGTTATGGTGGATTCGGGTAAGTGTTCTGTCACATCTTCATATCTCACATGAACCTATCAGGCGCTTCCAGATATGGCAGATGTGGTCCTGACACGATTTTCTATCACTGGACGTGCTGTGACTATAACGTCTACGATTGCTGTATCCAACTGGAAACCTGGGTTATGTGAGTGGAGTTCATAGAATCTTACAGGCGACCCAATCGGTTTTAAATCGTAAAGGCAGAGTTCACGGTAATCCTGGGGTATTTAGTTTTACAAAACGGATTCAAGGTCCCGTGAGTGTGTTACACAATAATCCGAACACACACTCAAGTGCCTCCGAACACCCTTCACATATACAACGCGACAAAAGGGTATCATGGGTGAAGCCAGCGGGTGCGACAGAAAGGCTCTTACAGTAAGCCCCTGGCTTACCTCATCATCCACGCCCGTGTCCTTGCCCGAAGACCTTTTTCGACGCGTCGTATAAGTGACGCGTAAAAATTTGCGTATCAACACGTGCCGTATTACTATAAGAGCCGAGTGCCGGACTGAATTTTCGTTTCTGTGCGGGTGCGTCGTGAGGAACTAGGGGGATTACTGTACCACTCTTTCATGGGCGTTCAAATCTGACTTCTATTTCAAACAAATAATGAAAGTGAAGTCCCAAATAGTGCAAAAGTGGCGAAGAAAACGGGGAAACGCAAGACTTCGAAAAGAAGTAAAATGAGAGCTTGGACAAGAATGTAAGGGTGGAAATGGCACAGAAGGGTTATTTGGATGGGGAACGCCGCCGTTAAAACGCCCAAGTGCAATGCGGAGAATGCATGCCAACTTATCAAGTGCATTAGCGACTTATCCTCTTGCGATGCTATCTGCCTTTTGATGGGTGACTTCAACTACCCAGATATCGTTTGGAATGTCGTACCTCCTCAATCCTCACCCCATTCCGCTCCCTTTATCGAAATGATTGCCAACCATAACTACACCCAAATGGTTAAGACTAGGACTAGAGGAGAACACACTTTGGATCTGTTGTTCTGCAATAGCCCTAATGTTGTAAGCAATGTTCTCACTACGGCTCCCTTAGGCACAAGCGATCATGCTTCCATTTGCTTCAGCCTTCTCACCCCATTTGAACGTGATTCATCCTTCTTAAAGTTTAACTTTGGGAAAGCTAGATATGATCTCATCAATAGGTACCTAAGCGGCATAGACTGGGTTGGTTCCTTCAGCTGTTGCTCAGATGTGCTTGAAATGTACGAGATGTTTCTGTTCATTCTGCGCCATACGATATCCTCTTTTGTCCCATTGGAGAAGACTTCGCTCTCTTCTCCCAGTTTGCCTAGTCACCTGACTAATGCATATTTTGCTAAAATTGAAGCTTATAAAAGGGCTGTCTCCACTAATAGTGATGAGTACTGGCGACGTTATAAGGAGATTTCCGATAGGTTTGCAAAAAAGTTGTATAAGTACAACATTTCAGTCGAGAAAAAAGTTATTGAGTCAAACAGCAAAGTCGCGTTCTACAAGTTTTTGAATTTTCGTATCAATCGTAAAGACGGGGTCAGTGCCCTCGTTAGACCTNTGGTGAAACAAATCCTAAAATCCATTACTGCATACATGATCGTATCCTTGCGGCTGCCGACACGGTTAAAGATTTGGGGTTCACTATCAATTCAAAATTATGTTTTGAGGAGCACTTGAAAGGTATCTTGGCCAAAGCTGATCAAAGAGTTTTCCTACTATTTAGGTCACTAAAAACTAAGAATCCCATTTCACTTACAAAGGCATACAAAATCTATGTGCGTTCTGTATTGGAATACGGTACTTCCATCTACCATCCTCACACAAAAACGCTGTTAAACAAACTAGAGAAGATACAGAACAACTTTACTAGGAAATTGTTCATCAGAGCACTAGGGTTCACGTACAGAAGCATCCCTCGAGGAGTGATTAGAAATAAGATACTCGGTCTTGACCCCTTACAACTAAGACTTAGGAGGAATGACATACTCATGGTGTATAATATTCTGACTAATCGAATCGATCTTGACAGTCGTAACTTTTATACTTTGACTCAATCCAAAACAAGGGGCGAGAGGTTCAAGCTCACTTTTCGTCAGCCGCGTTCTTCGGTGGGGCGCAGGTTCTTCACATTTCGTGCAGGCATGGAGTATTTGAAAATGAGTAAACTAATTCCAATACCAATATTCTTTTCTACATTCAAAAACAAGGTATCTCATTATCTGCATTCCGTTCATTAGCTTAATTTATGTTCTCCGTAGTTCATTTGTTGTTGCTTCTACTGTTTTATCGTGTTTTTTTTTCTCCTCTAATAATATAAGTTGTTAACATGCCAACAGCATGTAATAAAGTAAGTAAGTAAGGATGGCTGTTCAATTGGCTGCTGTCGCCATTGCATACAGCTGGCTGCAATAATCCGCTTGCGTGCAAGGTGTGGATGCTGCTGCTAAGAATGCTACCTCTACAGCTTCTATGACACTGACGAACTCGTTCGCCTTGAGGATGTACTTAGGCTAAGCTGGTTACAGGGCCCCTACTACGCCCTATATTGGCCATTTTCGACCATACAATGTCCTATTTGCTATCCTTGGAGATCACAGGTTCATCCAAGGAGGAAATCTCAGAAAACATTTCCGATTTGGATTGTGCCTTTACCGGGGTTCAAGAGGCTATGATGCAGCAGATTGCACATACCCATGCCGAATGGGTCGCGAAATAATATCTGCAAAGCGTTTGCAGCACTCCACCTCATCGTGAATACCATGGCGATTGGAATTCCTATGTTTTTTTCGAATGTACACTTTTCGTTCTTTTCCAATATTTAGCGCTAGAGCGCAGAGAAGGGGAGTGGGCGGGAGGGGTAGCCGACTTTGCGAGCCCATTATGGTGCTAAGAAATGTTTCTTAACCTAGAAAATAAAGTTCTTTAGCTCATCACAGCATGATACAGTAATAATCATCTCACATACTTCTGTGGTCCTCACTCCTGCCTACTAAGGCTTACGTAAAACCCATATTCTTTTAAATAAGAACCGTTTCTAAGCATAATTCAAGTCGGCTACCTGTGACCTTGACTTCGATTTACTGTATGGCACATTCACGGAACTTTAAAACCCGTCCTGTCACATTCACCAATATTCTGGAGCGAACGGGTGTGTTGCGGTTTAGTAGTAGTAGTAGTAACGGTAGCCATGCTGTACAATTAAATGTATAAACGTATACTGTTTCTTGCCTACGTCTGGGAACCTTCGAAAGTTGCACCTTGGAACTTCAGCAAATCCCTTTTTACTTTCTATTAATCCTACTCTTTCCAGTGTTCTTATCGTCATCATCTGTATTGGTATTCTCCTCTGCATTTGTGGATGCATAGCTGCATGTATTTGGAGTTATAGCCGGAATAATTGAATTAGAACGCTCTCCTTTTGATCTACCCTTCAGAATTACTGCCACTGAGAAGAATCTGCTTTGTATTTATTGTTTTGATGTATCTTGAATTTCATCAGAATTTTGAGTTCACTTAATTTTTACTTAGCTGTTTGTAAGCAACAGTTTTTGTTGATACTCTCTGTTTTAGTAGTCTTTCAGATGATTCCCGATAGTGATAATATAATTATGTTTGCCCAGTTACTGTATAAACAATGAATAATCAATTCTTTGCAATAAATTAACCGCCAGAACCTGGGAAAGTATGCCATTAGGTTCGGTTTTCTGCACTGGTCAGTCAATGCAAGGGCGGATGAGGTTTGCGCGGGGGGCGCGCGATTCACGCGCCAATATAATGAGGTCATCGCGCACGCAGCACCGTTTCAGTACCTTCCTGTTGAGATGGACCAAATAAATTTGCAGTAGTTCCCGGCTTCACCATGAATAGAGCAAATCTCTTTACTATGGCAAAAAAAAGCCCCTTCGAGACTGAGAATTCACCTCATAGGTCAACAATTTACTAGTCAAACGTTCAAAATAAGAATAACTTTAATTTTTTCGATCCTAGTAAACGCAATCCATCTGTAAACGTGCATAGTTGGTCATTTCTTTACTTATTCTACTTATAAGTTCTTATAACTTCCTCAAGTAACTGTAACTTCTTATAACTTATAACTTAATATGATGGTAAGAATGATGTTTTAGCGTGTTTTGTCCGATGACCTCATTATATCGGCGCGTGAATCGCACCACACCCGGTTTGCGCAATGGTGTTCCCTTATTCTTGATATTCTCAAGCTCGAGTGACAAGGAGGTTAGGATACATGAGAAGGAGAAAGGAAAGAACAACATACATATATCGAAGTCTTACGGATGGTATAAAGAGGGTGCCTGATCAACTGTAAATGTAAGAAACGAGGATGCTTTTTTCCAACTTTCTATGTACGACTAGCTAGGGATTAGAAAAATCACCCTTTGGAACATTCACGAGATAATTCTGGTTTATCAATGATGTTTATTATTTGGTGATATCTTGTAGAAGCGATTTTTGTCCGACCTGGCTAACTTAACGGAAATGGACAACCTCAAAGGAAGCTTTATTTTTTAGGTTGATGCATATACCTTTTCCTCAGTGTTTGATCCTTCCGTATGTCGTTTGCATGGATGTTGGTATTGCACCATCGCATTTCGCCATGAAGTTGATACCCTTTCATCACACTAGCTATCACCCACCCACTCTGCATTTGAAGGTCACAATGACGTATAATTTTCATAAGTTCGGCTCAAAGGATGATGTCAGAGAGGCACTCGACGACTTCTGTAAGTTACAGCCCCATTCTTCGGGAGGATTAAATCAACAGCTACCTAAACGTCGACATCGAGTAGTGGATGGTGATGACACATATCTCTAATCTTCAGGCTGTTTCGCTATTGAGATATTTACAAAAAAGTCGGGGGAAAGAACTTACGCATCAACCTAATATCTCAAATAGGCACGTTTACTACATGAATGTGGTGGGTCACTGACAAAGGAAAGATTGAAGGGTTCTAGTTCCGTCCGAGACTGAAGTTTTGCCCAAAAATCGCCAACCTTGCGAGACTTTCGGAACGCGTATTGCGGCGAAATGACAGCAGTTAACAATACATCAAGTCCAGAGAGAAGATCATTCCGGTTCATGAGAGCGAGATAACTACAGTGGTCAGTAGAAAACGTGATAATTCATTGGACATATCACAATGTTAGGATACATACTTCCATAGGTGCATCTATACTTCCGCTACGTCACACATAAACCACTGTAGCCAACGATATGGGTACAGGGGCCGCCCAACAAATGGGTTTGTTTTGCTACCTAGGAAACCAGCAGCTACAGGTGGAATAGGCTTTGAAAGAAGTCATTTCGATACCGACACCCCAATGGAAACCCCTTCACGCCTCACGTTTCTTATTCTTGTCAACATCTGTATCGGATTACTACTTCTAGCCATGGGTTGTATAGCCCTCTGCTTATTCAGCTACAGCCGAAATCATTAAAAGCAATGGCCACCTTTCTGTATGCTCATGGTCAACCTTATTGAAGCTGGTTGGAGAATCTCATCAGGATCGCGTTATGATGAAACTGCTTTCCCCTCCGTCATCGCTTTGGAATGGGTCATACCAAAGAATAGAAATTGAAATAACCATTGATTGTTAAAAAGTTATGTATAATTATCTGAATAATAATTGATAATGCAATTTTAATTGTTATTATTATATGTTTCGTCCGACCATTTTATAAATCTGCTCGAATTGCGTGTTTTTTATATGTATGTTGGAGAGATGCGGTATGGGAGTTGCTTTAATGCCTCCTTTGACAGATCGGCATAAACTTGTCATTACTAAGAGAAAGGGAGGTAAAAAACCCTGTGATGGCATGTGATGAAGGGCCATGATTCGGGCGCTGATTAAGAATTGCAAAGAGCCTCTCTGTTCCACCACCTCTATACAAGATCGTGGGGGCATTTGAAATATGTGTGGCCTATGCAACGAATTGCGGTGGTTGTGTGATGTACAAGTCGGTGCTCTTATTTCACAGGTAACACTGGTACCATTTGAACGACCTCGAAGGGATGGAAGGCTTGTTTGTCTAAGCGGCAACACACTGGGATAATTCCCGGACTAGGCCTGTACAGTGAGATGAGGTTCACCTTCGTGTTTTAGCATAGGACGTCTAATTAAACATTCATTCAGAAGTAGTTTACATTTGTAGGCAGCTGTTTGCACCGTAACATTTACAGACTGAAGTTCGCCTAGGTCTGTTGTAGTTTGACAAACGATTGCCCTGGGCTTTTGTGAAAGGGCGCATCGGAAGGACCTGAAATTCGCCCGTGGGGCCTCCTGATAGGAATTTCTACTTGTGACAATCCGCGAACATCCAGATAAGCTGCTCCTCAAGGTTCGGTCATCTTGAAAGCTAGTTGGTATGGGGAGATCGTAGGTGTGAGTGAAATATTCTAATCAGTTCAAGTATGTGCTGTCATAAAGACGATAGAACTTTGCTGTAAAAAAACAGAACAATCCTGAAGAACCTCACGTTTCTGGTAACAGCCCTTCGTGGCATTTCTCTGTATAGTTGTTTATTGTTGAATTTTTCTTGTGTCGTGCGAGGTTGACAGATGGTACAATTTATTAAATCAACGGTCTAAGCCAACCCACTCGAGCGATCCTGTGATGACGGTGTACGCCCCTCCCACCTGACCGAATTCGACGTTATCGTCTTCTTCAGAGGCAAAGAATCCACCGCTGCAGCAGATATAAACTCCTCTGCCGCCACAGGCGACTGTCAGTAGCGAACAGTAGTTCGCTTCATAACCGCTTGAGCGGTAGAACCTTGGCCTCAGAAGGAGACGATAACGTCGAAACGTTAGGCCGTTGATTTGGTAAATTGTTCCATCTAACATCTTCGAACAGCCAAGAAAATTCTAACAATCAGCATGAGAATATTACAGAGCTTATCACATGCATGGTCCAAAAATCCAATATCCCTGTTTGTTCGACATCCGCAAAGGCAACCAAGCCTTCCATACTTTCTTGGTCCATAAATTTGTACCTACCTTGTCTGGGGGGCGGAAGTATTGAGCTGAACATCAGCTCGTCATTGTAAATCACTGTCTTAACCCACATGCGCATTCAATCGCCACGACGATTAAGAATGTAAGTCAAATGCATAGCGTACTCTCAACGGAGATTGATCGATGTCAAATTTACACTTAAAAATTCTATAGCTATGCAGAGCTTTACCAGATGAGCCAGGATTAGACATTTTTCCCAGCGGATCTCTAACGAAGCCACTAATAATGAGTGGCATCCCAGTAAAGTCAAGTTTATTGTATCTCTAAGTGGGAAAGTTAGCTTCGGAAATTAGACTAGTATTTCTTCACCGGTTTGGTATCGATAGTTAGAGGTGTGATAAAGCTCAGCGTACTCGAAAGACATCACATTAAAAAGTAATCACCTGTTGTGATGAATTCAGCTGCTGTTTATACACTGAACAGTTCGAAAATCTTATCGAAAGCTGTAAACAAAGAAATGGTTGCTCACAACACTCTCAAACCAGCTGGACTACAGCCTAGTAGGAGTACATATCCGTATCCGAGACTGTGTTGTTCTCAACGACAGACTTGATCTCTTTCCCGGCGAGGCTGTCCTATGCTTTATGATTCCCAACAGCAAATGTAGCTGGCTCGTCCCCGCTTCTGCTGCTTCTGACAGTATATTTACTACAGCCGCGATAATTGCATTTCAAAAGGATCAGCATCCACAGGTTTGAATACAATCATCAAACGGAGCCACGGTTCAGTAGTTGTTGAAGGATATTTTTCTCCCGAACCGGAGTTCACAGCGGTGACTCTAGAACCCACATATAAAGCATTGTCGTGAGCAGCGTATGACACTTTCGAAACAATTTCAACTCTCCCAAACCCTTTACCCAATACTTCAGAGTTTCCTCAAGAGCAATGCAAGGAACATTTAAAATATCTGAATGAAAAACGTAACATATAGAAGTCGTGCTTCTTATCTCTTAGAATGCGGTGCCCGATAAGCACAAGCAAGGGTTCGAGATCTGTCCGAGGCCGAATTTTGGCCATAACCTGCCAACCTTGTGGGACTTTCACATCGCGTACTGCGGCAGTATAACAGTAGTTAACAAAGAGCATCAAGTAAATATCAGAATCAGTCAAATCCACTGTTTTTACTAAGGTTTGGTAACCTACAGATTCAGAGCCAATACAGTACATACACACATTTAATGCTCTGTGCCGAACAGGGTTCTGATAGTGGAAAATAGAGCAAGCTCTTACATCTCCAAAGCTGAGCGACCGTTGTGTGTTGGTAGAATTGACGTGAGTGACTTGCTGGAATTTCTATTTAGTTGGTATATCGTTGGTCTGAGTTGCCTGTGTTAAGGGTTGGTATGCGTCAAGAGTGTTAGGTAACACCCTGAATATCCGCAGCGCTTTTAGGATTTCGAGAAGACGACCTGTCAGAACTTCAGGCACAATAAATGTTTCACCATTAAAAACCTATTTGGCACAGAAGCACTGAATACATTAGAACAGACACCCACGAAAGGCGAGCGTGGAGACAGTACATTGCTCCCGTGCAACGCTTGATATCTCTAAGAGAATCAGTTCCATATATACAACACACTGAATATATCTGCTCACTCAGAATTAGGCGATTCCTTCATTCCTTCAGCTTCCGATCGTTGCCTTCGATGAAGCTCCCGCTTCCGCTTGGCTTTCGCTTCCTTCTCTCTTTGTAGACGTTTATACTGCTCCTCATAGCATTCATCTCCATTCACATGTCGATCCAAAGCATATTTCAGCCGTTCGTAAGCAATTTCAATATTTTTCGGAAGCAGACGTGATTCGTGCACCTGTAACAGGAAACATTTCAAAATCTTCTCCTTTCTAATTAACTGAATTCGGAGAAACTCAATGAAAAACATCGCTAAGAAGGAAAATCTCATAAACAATCAACTTAATGGCCAAGAAACAGGGAATACAGCTGTTTTGACACAATCCGTCTAGAGCAAATTACTTATGTGCGCCATTAATTATCAAGCCGTAGAGCAATGCAGAAGACACCTTCCAGTGTAGCCCTTCTGTTGAAAGGGTTATGGATAAAACTTTTGATTCCAAACAAACTCGCCCCTGGGATGCGCCTCGCACCCAACATTAACTCAGAACTTTAGTGTTGTTTTGAATGAGCATGTGACCTACATGTGCAGGTAATGTGATGGGTTGTCCGGGAAGCTCCCGTCGATTTTTGAGTCATCTTTGAGCAAAAATTCCTAGAAAACAAATCCATCCACCAAACGATATATCCTCCATTCTGATCAACAATGGTTCGCCACGTTACTGATGATTTTTTATCATACTCCCATAGAAAGTTCGAGACTCAGAATCGGAAAAGTCTCTCACGTAGTCCTCGCAGCCCTCCAGTGGATTGAACGATTTTCTAATCCAAAAATTCTGCAGAAACCTGAGCACGTGGTAGTCTCATGGTGCTACGTCTGGACTATAAGGCGGTTTTGGTGAGACATCCCACGCCAAGTTCCACAATTTTTTGTCGAATGGCCAGAAATCCGTGTAATCTGGAGTTATGCTTTTGAAAGACAACGCCCTTATGACTGACCAGTTTTCGGCGTTTCTAGTCTATCACCGCCTTCAAGTTGTTTAGCTGAGTACAGCACCTTCCCGAAGTTATCATTTGGTAAAGCGGGATCAGCTCATTATGTATGCAACACAGCGCAATCTTCCGCACCAGGATTTTGACTTTGGGAGTAGCTTGTGACGGCTCACTGAAGGCTCCACGATCGTTTCCACTCCACGTTGATGGATACGACCCACTCTTCGCCGCCCGTTTTCATGTGTTCCAAAAACAGCTCATTTTTGCTTTGTTTGTGTAACGAGTCGCACATGGAGGCGCGGTCCATCACACTGCCCTCGCTCAGTTCGTGAAATAAACAAACATCAAGGCGCTTAACAAACCAAGTTCCAGCAAATGGTCATGGATGAAACACTGTCTCACATTTCACGAGTAGTGATGTGCCAATTCGCTTCGATCAACATTTTGATTAGGTCGTTTAATAGTCCCCCTGAGGGTTGCTGATCTTCAAGGGTGAACACCCCAGTTTAAATTTAGCAGAACACTCACGCACCGTACGTTCCCATAGAGCACTGTCTGCCTAAACGTAGCAAATCTTTATCGCGGCTTGAGCAGCGTTCTCCGCCTTAAATTGGATGAGCAGCCTACTCCACAATGTCAACCGAATCAGCTCTCTTTTACGACATATCGTCTCGACTCCAGCACGCTGAAGCGCAATTGTGCACACACAAGCTTCGCAACTCGTTTTCTTGTACATATCCCATACCTACTCCAGCACTCTCCTTTCGATTTTTATGGGTCTTTTTTTGAGCGGGTGGCTTTTGAGCCAGATGTAACTCAGATTGCTGATAATTTCATGATAATGAAATGAAAAAAAGTTATTCCTATTTTTGTGGGCAGAAAAAAAAGAAAAAATGTGTAATAGTCTCTAACAGAGGCTATAGATTATTCAATCAGAATAGTTTAAATCATTTGATTGAGTCTTTGGAAATACCTACATCAGTTTATAGGATAGCTGTTTGCCTCAGTGTTATACAAGAGTGCCAGAACCAGTAATCTGACAGTGTAAGATTTTCCTGGTGTAGGAGTGACCGTAGTCAGAAAGGCAAGCGTGCGTGAGAAACTTAACTGTGTGAGAAGGAGGTGTCTGAGAAGTGAGATCTTATTAGCTGAGTGGTTCTAGTCGATAGTCGGAGTGTAGATCACAAAGAGCCGCTATCCCATTTATTGCGCAACATTGCTTAACCCTCGTGCATGGGGATGTCAGTTCACTGTATCCATGACTCATCCCATCACGCGTATTTAAGGCTCACCGCCCGACCATCAAGCTCGCCGTCAAGTGCCACTGCACCTCCTGCTTGTCACCTCTGGGCCCCATGTCTCCCAACTTCTAACGCCACAACTTCTTAACCGCTGATCTCCAATATTCCATGCGGCCTGACAGTTCCCTTTACTATCTGCATATACTGATAAATGTTATATTCATGCATGTGTGATGCAGAAGTATGAGAGGTCAGCGGTGCGGGGACATCCGCACCCGATTACTGGTAGCAGCGAGTTCGGACAACAGGAGGATACGCGAAAGGTTAGTAATTACATTGGTGAACCTTACCTTACATTGGTTCTGCTGAAAACGAAGCCTGATTCAACTTCGTTTGCTCGATCATGTCGTATTTTCTTAATTTCCTCTATTAGAAACTACTCCTAGCCGGACACACACAGCAAAACTTTATGAACTCGAGTTGTTCCCTTTCCAATGATACCGTAAAGCACAGTTTCGCCTCGGGGCTAGAGTGGTCTTAAGCACAACAGCACTATACGTTGAGTCAGAGTTTTGAACGAGCGTTGAGTTGTGTTATTCAAATGAGCTTTGTGAAAGTGACAATGAGGATCACATATGTATGTTCATGGAGGAAGTTTTATTCGACGTCGAATCAGCAGAGTTCGCAGTGGCAATCTGTGTTGACAATCGTCAACAAACTGGCGCCAGTTAGTGAGTAAGAAGAGTAGATTTTTGAAGAATTATACCAGTTGAGGAGCCGTTGCGAGTTTTGGCTAGCCCAAATAAGCTCGCTCTTGTGTCGTTTACTGAGTTTTGAAAAGTTCTACAAAATATTCGCCTAGCGCTCGTACTCTTTCTTAGTTCTCCATCGGACCGGCCGTTCTCTTCGCCTTGGCTTGCAGCGGGCTCCTTGTCTGCGGCTCGTGCGGCTCTCGCGACTCCTGCCCTTCCCATCAGATAACATGTTCTCGACATTTTCGAACGTGAACTGTTTACGGCTTCGAGTCAGTTCCCACAGTTCGATCTGATAACAGATTTCTAACATTTCTCGGAGCTCCGACCTCGTAACTTCTCACGGGTTTTGCAGTCATCAAAGGAATGCGAGGGATGCACTTCACTGTAGGATAGTACCGTTCCCACCCCCACCGTTACTGGACCACTAAGAACAGGGATCTTTTCATGATTTACCGTCACAGTACCGTCCCGCCCACCCCGTCTACGATATATAAACCACATATCCCCATGGCAGTCATCCGACTGTATTCACTATATTTCTAAGCCTTAATGCCATTTACACGTAGTCATGGTCCATCGCCGCTTCGGGATCTCCATCGCCTCCGTCGATTGGGGTTGGTGCTTTTGATCCCGAAAATGATTTCCAAGATAACTTGGAGACAGGAGTTGTTACTCCTAACATCCAAAACGTTGGTTCCGGTTCCTTCACGGCACTATTAGATGACTCTTTTTCCAGACTGGATGATTTGGCCGTACTTCATGCTCAGGGCGGGAAGGCACTTCGCGACGCAGCCTCGGCAGCAATTGAATACGTATGGAGGGAAACTCGGTCACAGACTACGGCCTACGCTCATCGCATCAATAGAGGGAATGCCTCTTTGTATTCTAAAATCAGTTAGTCGTTTACAGCAGTAGGGAGTCGGTTGAAGCTATACCTACCATTGTAGTCTTTTCCCAAGATTCTCCTTCGCCGAAGATAGCTCCATCCACTGCACACCCGAGGATGGGACCCAATTCTCCATTCGGTTGCGCCGTTTGAACGATATGTTCCGCATGCGTCCTTCGAAGCATACCAGCGAGCAAAAGCCCAACTTCCTTATCGGATATTTGGATGAAGTTGCTCGGAAGAAGGTGGAAGAACTGGACGATCAGGCATGCAAGAGTTTCGACGCTGTTACTACTCATCTTCGGAACTTCTTCGAAAGCCTGCAGCAGCGATACGTTGCCAGACAAAAGCTTTGTTTGCAAACAGGAACCAATGGAAACACCTGCAACGTTCGCCAATCGAGTGCTAAATTTGATTCGCTCTGTAACGGCCGGTCAAGGCACAGGGACGCAGAAGGAGAGGGTATTGGATATCCCGCCTCAGAGGTGTATCCGATTCTTCGTCAGATTGGATAACGCCACGTCATTCGAACAGGCAGTTACGAAGGCGCAGATGGTGGACTACTTAGTGAGGCTGCAGCTGAAAGACTTAATAATCCTGGTTATCCCGATGTGTCGGTAAACGCATTGGATGGAGGCATTGTGGGTATGAATCAAGCATCCAATAGGCCCAATAATAGGAATCGTAACGTTTAGAGAGATTTTCGAAGGCTTGAAAGTGAACAACGTCATCGTCGTAATTTTTAGGGCGATAGAGCACCTCGCCAGCAAGGCCGCCGGAGGAGGCTGGTCTTTTGCATTAAAGATCAAGTTGCAGAGTTGAAATGAGTGAACGTCACCTACCGATTTAGCCATTCGAACTGTTTTCGAATCAGGGAAAACCGTCGTAGGCGCCCTCATCGCCACTCGTAGATTTTCCAAATTCATAGAGCGCGTCATCGCCATCAACGAACACGGCAGTTGCGCAGTTCACCGACCTCTATTGCGATTGGACGGCTACCGTCACATCGAAATACTCCGTTATGTGTCTGACAAAGCCCTTATCGAAGGAGCTGGACGCAAACACCCATGGACTTACACATTATTTTAAAGCGCTGTCCCGTGGATTACGCAGGACTCTCCGCAGGAGCCCTTCAAATTTGCCGCAAGTACAAGAGGGGCCGTGAACTATTAGAACGGTTCATGTTCGATCACGACCTCGCAGTGGAATTATTGGAAGCGGAACGTGACAAATATCGCCTCGCAGAACGCGGCATCTCGGATTTGACTAAGGACGCCGTAAGGATCATGTTTGAAGTTCGCCATTTCGCAGTCGTTTGCATTACGACAGCAACTCTCCTCAACTCCATCTCCGCAGACGGTATTTTTTGTGGCTGATTCGACTCGTTCACTACACCCATCGGCGACGAAGCTTTGCAGATCCCGGTCGCTTTAGCTACTCACCTACCCCAATCCGGCACCACATTTATACCGGTGAAACATGTCAATTAGAAACCCACGCCCAATGCCCGCGTTCATCCAATCCGGCATGATTCGGTGCCACAGAGCGTGACGAACGTTCTGCTGGAAGCAGGAGTTTCGGTTGCTCCTATATCCATGTCGTTCCGAGCTCACCCGCTATTGAACGAACTCCCGAACATAGTCTTCTACAATCACCAACTCGTTAATGGAACGCAGGCTGAATATCGCCAACTATTTTTGTCAGAAGTTTGTTGCTCGAACCACTCTTGCAATTTCCGTTTGTACATGCTCCCAAAAAATCACTCAGCGGTTCGCTTAGCGATGCAGCCGAAGCCGAAATTTGTCGTCAGATCGTCACCAGCCTTCTAAGCAAGAACATTCACCCCGCATTATAGTATTCTATGAGGAGCAGTCCTAGGCTATAGCGCTTCGCTAGCGCATCAGCCGTTGACCTACACACCGTTACTTCCGTGCAAGGTCTCGAAAAAGATATCGTCATACTTCTTACGACTCGGACGGAATTCTACCCCTCGCGCGGAGTGTTTCTCAACAATCCGCATCTTCTCAACGCCGCATTGTCTAGATGCCGCCATTGGGTCATGAAAAGTCTTTGGTAGGCTTGTCCTTTTGGTCTGATATCTCCAGTGAGGTTATTACCGTGGGGCCGTCACTACCCAGCGGCTCTTCCAGATCTTCTAGAATAGACGGGTCACTTCCCGTTTTCCAAATAAAAGGTGAGCCTCCCTCTTCTATCACCGTCCTTATTTCTAGGTCCAAAGACGGACTTTTTTGAAATGAGGGCAGGTAAGACTCTGTAGGTGGAAAAGTGACCGTAGTCCGGAAGTCAAGAATGCGTGAGAAACTTGACTGTCTGGGAAGAAAATGTCTGAGAAACAAGATCTTATTAGCTGAGTTGGTTCTAGTCGAAAGTCGAGGTATAGATCAAAGGGAGCAGCTTTTCCTTTCATTGCGCAACATTGCTTAACCCTCGTGCATGGGAATGTCAGTTCACTGTATCCATTACTCATCCCATCAAGCGTGTTTAAGGCCTACCGCCAGCTTCTCGAGGAGTACAGTCGACAAAGTCACCGCCCGAAAATCAAGCTCGCCGTCAACAGCCACTACACTTCCTGCTTGTCACCTCTGGGCTCACGTGTCGTAACGTCTAGCGCCTCAACTTCTTACTCGCTGATCTTCATTACTCCATACTACCGGACAGATCTCTTTACTCTCGCGTGGATTTCTGCGTTAGATTAGTGCAAAAAAATGAAAAAGGGGACTTCGCCTTTCACTCACCTTAACGACCAAACCTGTTGGTTTATGCCGTAGTTGGACGGCATTCTGTGCAGTATTTACTTTCTGACCGCCAGGACCCCATCCGGAAATAAATTTCTGGAAACGGACCCCTTAGGATGTCGAATATTCCCAATAACAAATCTTGGCTTGCCAGTACTACAAACCTGTTCGCAGTCATCCTTTTTGATTTCAGGAAATTTGTAATTTTTCAACTTCTCTTTGATTGAAACGTGACGAATGCTGGTGAGAATACAAGTAGCGTTCTGTTTCCGCAACATTTTCAATACAGTCTTAAATGAATATACAAAAAATGAACAAGTTATAAAAATGGCCTCAAGTCAGAAATAGACGCGCATTTTTACATATTTACATAGGAAAGAAAGATACTAATAAATGACTAGGTATCTACTGGTCTTTGAAGAAGAATTCTGCTTAGAGGCACCGTCCACGATAAAAAAGTTATTGAGTCCTTACCTTATTAATACTCAGCGGCCCCCATGGGTTGTAGAAGGAACCCTCTCACTCCCCCAATCTCGAAGTCCAGGGCATAGTGGCAGCCCCGTTGTTGCCGTAGTTCGCGTTCCCGCCCCTCGATCGGTGTCACGTTAGACGAGACAATACAGATTGCTATTATTCGTTCTAGGACCTACGCACATCAGCTAATCGCCGAGTGATGAGGCGACGTTTTTCTCCCATTCTTTTTTCCTCTGTTTTTCTTTTTGCTGCCGCGATCCCCTATTTAATTTCCTACTCCTAAAGGCTGAGAAAGGGGTGCTAAGTGGGTGGGGGGGGGAGTCCACGCGGCGCGGCTGCGGCGCGGCACTCTGCGCTCTCCAGCGAGATAGTAGTGAGCCTGAGTTTGGGAAGGAATGGTAAGGTTGTACTGATGTGTTTCGTGATTCAGAACAAACAATATGCTTGCATATTATGGATACACTTCTTCTGAGCCGAAAAAAGCTTTTTTTTAAGCAGGGGAGGGGCTCCGGGGGNCCCCGGAGCCCCCCCCCCCTTCCTAAAATCAGGTGAAAATGCACAGTTACAACATAAAAAACTATGAAACATCCCTAAACTCGTTTCGGGCTTCCTTCTTTACTATCTCGCTGGAGAGCGCAGGGTGCCGCGTCTCGTGCCCCCCCTCCCAGCCCACTTGGCACCGAAAAAGGTGAGCTACTTTTGCTGGCACTAGGGTTTTTAAGTTTATTTATGATTTTGAGTGAATGAATTTTTTCTTACCATTTTCAGTTGTTCGCACCAGGACCCACACGTGCGCAGTGAAACACACTGTTTAGCTCGTCCGGGCACCCCACTCTTCTTCATTTTTCTGGTTTCATTCTCGTCCAGCCCCTTTTTAACGGTTTTTCGAAGCCTTTTTTCACTTTGGAAACACCGAAGCACGCAGTTTATTCACCTCAGTCGCACTAGTTTCGATCTTGTCTTCCTTCATCATAATCTGAATTACCCAAAATTGTCGTGAACGGTGCCTTTAAACGAAGTGAAAGCGATCGTATACGAACAGCAGAGCTCAGAATGGATACCAGAAACCTTCCCTCGAACAGCTTAGCAACTCAGTACTGGACTGAACAAACGCATTCTCCCTTCTCATTCCCATTGCTCTTGACCGTTTTCGATTTTTGAAAAAAGGCCGCAAACATTTTGTGGTATTACACCCTGATATTGCTCACAAAAAGTTGTTCATGAACGCGACGATGTCATTAGCTGCTTTCAGAGTTCAGCGAAACAACCGACGAACGCGCCTCCGACCGACGGCGGCGCAAGCCACTTGTTGACAACACAGGTGATCCATTCACGTCCAGTGTTGTCAACACATAGCCAGCAGCACCGTTGGTCGCGTCGTTGAAGTCTTAAAGCAGCCATTGGGTGCTTTCAGAGTTCAACGACGTGCCGACTGCTGCCGGCGTTGCTGGCCACGTGTTGAGAATGCAAAACAGATTACGTTCAAGGCCACGTGGGCTTTGCTGGTATCGCACGCAATCTGTCCTGCTTTGTCAAAACGTGTCCAGCAACGCCGTCAGTCCGTCGGTTGGCCGACACGTCGTTGAACTCTGAAAGCCCCGGTTCGAAGGACTCATCACACAAGGACGGGAACTCTGTACGAGCGCAAAGTAGTAGCGTGAAGGTTTAGGCAGCAATTTGAATCCCAACCGCACGCGATTCAATCTATGAGCTTGAAGAGAATTTGTAGAGACGTGCCGATGGCCTGTGAAGGCCCTGAAAATCGCCTTTGTTACCTAACTTGACTGTTGAAGTCTCGACCGAAAGACCCTCAAATATCTCATTCCATAGCAAAACTCTATACAGGCAATATTTTTAGAATGAAAGAGCAAAAATAAAACCCTAGAAAAAGCGTATCAAGCAGTAATTGGGAGAGCCAACCACGCGCAGCGAGCAGTCACACATTTCTTCAAACCGATTTTTTTACTCCAAAAGGCAACATTTTTATTAAACAATTTCAGACGTCTATAAGTGCACCATGAATATATACGATTTCAATCTACAAGTTCACATACCTCTCCAACATAATATCAACAAAGACAATTAGGACATAATTCTAAAATCATTATCTGCACCAAGTTAACTTGGAACATTACAAAACACTATGTCAAGTAAAATTCCCCCGCGTTTGGAATACCTCTCCTAATACTTTCACCGAATAAGTATGAAGCAAGAATGGGAACAGATCATAGACAAAGCAAGATCGAGTGGGAAATGCCTGGCATATAAAAGAGATGCTGATCGTCACAACGAATATTAAGTCCGAATTCAACAGCGAAGCAGCCATAACCGTTGCACTTCGAAACACACGCCATGCAACTGTCAGAAGGATGCGTGTCGAATGATCTACACTAAAACCGATGACTCGCTGAACTTACGTGAAGCCCATCCATTATGGCTCTGGCTGGCTTTATACTGCGCGAACGCCTGCCAACCACCCATTTAAAACAAACAATAAATGAATGTTGAAAAAAGTGTATAGAGTAGAGTCACATGGTGAGCTTATATCTACCATTCTCGGCCAGTCCGCTTCTTTTCAGTATGGAACAATCTCCGTTTTAGATGGGCAGCACACCAGTCGTTCGCCAGGTATTAACTTCGCTTCAGTACCATAGAATCCCAGAGTACGTGAGTTTTATAATAACGTATTGGCAATTGTTCAGTGTATTCGAATAATCGAACGCATTGAATTAAAGTAACGTTCTGATCTTTTAATGTAATAATTTTACGATGAATGGTTTGATTAATCAATAAGCGTGTTTTACTAAACCAAATATCAGTGTAAACTATGCACTCCTATAGGAAGGCAACTGAGCAGCGAAATTAACGATCAAAGACACGATGAATCGCTATCGATCATCAGTCCCCATTCGTTTCCGCTACACCGTTCACAAGTGCCTCGTGTTTCTTTGACTCTTTAACTATATCGATTTCTGCCCTTTCGCGAATCTGGTCCAGTGTCCAGTCGATTAAAAGATGTCCATTTTCGAACACAGTCAATAGAAGGTCCTGTAATGGCACATATCCTCATAGAAACCTAGATATTGATAATTAGTTAATGAATATGTTAGAATATGAGATGTTAAGAATATGGAGAACACTTCAGATACTGAAGAGGGAAGAAAAATGTGATGGAAGTAGGGAAAAACGGTTACCTTATCAGGATTTCCTAATCCTTCTTGGACGGTTTCCAGAGCTCCAGTAGGACTATGTTGCAAAGTCAAATAGCCCTTCTTAGAACGTTTTCCCTCGTCAGTTACGGGGCTCTTGTAGACATCTCTCTAAACATAGTCGCAATCATTTATAGAAATAAAATTCATAGTTAGCGCACTACCACATATGATGAAACTTCTACCTTCAGCTGATTAGCGGAAAGAAATAGAGCAAATGTAGGAAGGCAAGCTCTGATTAGGTGGACAGACAAAGAGAGAAAAAAAAAGTGGGATACAGCTCAGCAAAAGGACAGGGAGCCACATTCAGAAAAGAAATGAAACAAGGTGTGCTGAAAAGCGGACGAAAAGGTGCCAATGAAAGGCCTTAAGAAAAATAAGCCTGAGAACTCCGGGAAAGCTGGAATGCCGAATGAAAGTAAAGCGAAATAATAACCAAGCATATGGCAGGGCGGGAATCGTTTTGTCGCCGAAGCTACCTGACCCGGACAATCTTGAAGGAGGGTGTCTGAAATGATTATTTGAGCAGGAAAATCGCATCAAGGAAAGACCGTAACATCAGATAGGAATTTTGTGGAGTTTTTTTCGGTCGAATAACGATCTCTAAGTGCGGCCCTGGATCGATATCCGCCTAAGTCATCCATATCTTCCATCCCACTAAGGTCGGTTAATTGGCACGGGACTCCTTTGGAAGGATGAAAGCTGAGTTGTACATCGGTTGGCCACCGCAAGTCATGGTATAGCCATTTGCGCAGTCATTAGGCCACTCTGATGCTGAATGATAGTCTAATGTCTGGCGCATCCATCAGACGCAATTGATCAACGCCCGAAGACATTATCCTCTACCCTTTTTTGTCACGATCTCTTACCCCCTTCCCGCAGCTGATAATTTTCTCCTTGTTCGAATGTATAGAGCAACTTCGAGGAGCAATGCAACCACTAAAAGCATTTTATGGATGATGCCATTTTGGTTACGCGACTACTTGAAGTTTTTCTGCGTCCCTAGCAGCGGAATGTTGGAGCGCAGGGAAAAACACCCTGGGTGAAGGACAAGGGGTGGGGCGGGGGGGGGGGGGGGGGGGGGGGGGGTCGCCACAATTAAAAGGACCGCCGAGTTCAAGTAGTGCGTAGGACTATCATTTCCCCCAACACGTGGGTTCACAGTGGGCTGAAAAGAAACACGAACTTCGCTCATGAGCGATGATAAACAAAGGGATCTCAAATGGGATTTGCAAATAGAAAGACCTTTAAGGAAACAGAGAAGGCATGAACATGGAGCAGACTAAAAACCCTTAAAATGCAGTAAGACAAAGATTAAGAAAAAAGTAAAGTCGATTCAATCATAAACGAAAGTTGGACTGAAAGACCAGCTCAACTCGTAAATAATCAGTCCTTATGTAATTATTAGAATAAACGTATTGATTAGATAATTGATAGAATAAAGAGATTCGACTTACTTGCTCACCGCTGACAACGACATGACTACATTTGAATGCACACTTTTGAGTGTCACGGTTGAGACGTTGAAGAAGAGATCCTCCAGCACCAAATACTACGTTGTCCGTACTCCATCCACTGTCCTAAAGAGCTACTCATTAAGGTAACGAGAGCGAAGATTAAAATCGTGTGTTGATGAGGTTTACAGGCTCTAGAAGCGGAGCTCTCGCCGAAAAATCTCCAAAAGCATGCTCAGAAGAACAGCTGTGTGAACTGAGAGGAACGATGTGAACAGTTTCCATTTTTAACGCTAAGTTTTCCATATATGCATGAACAACGAAGCCTCTTTCATAGTTGGTCTATCCTTCGAGCATTTGTGGATGACGTTGTTTGCTCGACACGGACCCAGATCTGGTATCTTCTCCCCGAACGGCGTGTCGCGCTCACTGCACTCGATCGAAGGGATGCTTTGAATACCCCTGGAAAGATCGGGCAGTCGCCGCGGAACCACTGCCGCAGGCTAGGGGAATTCGTGGAATAGTTCCGCCACACAAACGGATCCTGGCTCTAAAGGCTCAATAAAACCGAAACCACAACCCAACTTACCTTCAACGCATGTAAAATTTCTCCTATCGATTCATATGTGATACCATCACCTTGTATAATTCGCAAGTAAGGGGGCAAAACCTTGTATCCCCTCAAATTGATCGTCACCGGGAACTTTTCCTCGAGCAATCGCAGGACCTACAAAACGTCACAAACATTATGTCGTTATTAGAATGGTTGATACATGACAGAACTACCTTTAGTAACACCGTAACAGGGTCGCCGGAGTCTGGCCGTATGACGAGACATCCTCGAGCACCACGATCAATTACTTCTTCACGAAGCTCTTCTCCCCATATAGATGACACCGCATGAAAGACATCGTAGGAGTCCGACACAACAGAGATGGACCCTTCAATAAAGTGCGAGTGAAAATGGCAGGAACACACAGTTGAAAAGAAAAAAATAAAGCCAAGAAAGTAAAATGGGACTTACTGAAGTTAGCAGCAGAAACATTAATGACCAACCTTTCGGGTATTGCTGCAGCATATTACGGAATGCGGCTACCTCGCCTTCGCGCTTCCAAGTTGTGATTGTGCTAAATCCTCGTTAAATGAGGGTTAGTAAAACATAGTGGAGATATAAAATATAGAAAGAAAAACCTATGCTCAGTTGCTGGAATGCTGAATCCCGCCATTTCACAAGAATAATATTTTCTGCATAACTGCAAACCTGCTATAGTATCAGTACCCATAAAATTCACTAAATGGGCGGCGCCACCGATTCCAGCACTCTATAGAGTAGTTGTTAAACAAATACAACTAATTAAATGAACTCGACAACGTTCACGTACCTCTACAGAGGTAGAGCCTCGATAGCCGAAATCATGCAATTTGAAGGGCAATCCTTTCATAGAATCACTGGTACTGTGAAGATATCGTGCGATGAGCTGCTTATAGGCCCTCGAAATTGTGCAGACCGTCATCGGATACCATGTCTGCACCAGAAGAGTCTGAAAGACCAATTTCATCTTTTCTTCGAAAGCCTACAGTTAAACCACAGGAACTACTGAGTCCACATATAAAGATTATGTGACGACCCGCACCGGTTACATCGAGCCCGGAGCAGCACTCTGATCCACTTGGATAACTCCTGATAATCTCCGTACCGTAGTGCTGTTCGGAACGTCTCCTTCTTCCCTACACAGTTTTTTAAAACTGCTCGTCATTCCCGTCAAAGGAGAATTTTTTGAGAGATTGCAGAACATACCAGGGGAAGTCACAGAGTAAGAATGAAAAAGAAAGGCTCTAGTACAAACCAAACCTCGAACCAATTAGTGAGCCATGGAACTTCGGGATCAGTATTCTCTATCGTAAACAAAACATTTTTAACAGGAACGACACTTCCTTCCGGTACAGCTTTTATTCGCAACGGAAGGCATCCGCCATGGTTCTAAAGAACTGCATTCAGCGCAATGAAACAATGGGTAAACACGAAAAACGTCTACAGGTCGGGAAGTGAAGATTCTCACATCAACAATGTGCCTCCAACCAGACTCGTTGAAAACGTCCATATTGAAATGAAGCTTAAACGAAAGCGAATTGAGCCAAATTCTGAAAGCAACTATTTGGGAAGTTAGATTGACTCACCTTATAAAACGCCTTCGCTTCGTCTATCATTTCATGATTGACTACCTTTCCAATAAGCCATCGCTTAAGAATGTACTGAAGACCAAAGAAGCACACCTAAAAACAGGTCACAAATTTTGCAAGAAAATCAGTGAACCTTATTCTTGAAAGAACTTCGAAGTAATAAAAAAATCCAGACGAACGGTTGAACAGCTAAATGTAGCTTCCGAAACGAAAGAAGCGACATGAAAAAAACTCAGTTGCTCGCAGGTCACAAAGGGTTCAAGAAAGGTAATGAGGGAAGGAAAAGTATGTGAAGTGGGTCGACCAAACTCTTCAAAACGATAATCATTTTGATTCTCAAGGGCCTTCGCAAGTCATGTATAGTTAAGACACTTCCGTAACATCCCACACGCTTCCGGAAGAAATGAAAAAAAAAGCAATGAAAAGATTCTTCATACCCCCACTAAAGAAAACCGGATGATATGATCAGCATCTTTTTTTTCACAGCACAACCTCAAATGTATTCTGGCTTTCACAAAAACGAATGAGAATTGTTGCCAAATAATGTGATGAGAAAGGAGAGCAAAACTACGGTCCAGACAAAGAAATATACCCCACAATCATCGAAGAAACCTAACCCTAATCCATGTACACCCAGCTTTTTCTTTCGTTGTGCTCCTCAATATGCAATAAGTTGCAATAAGTATGTAGCCAAACTAGCTGCAGGATAAAGTTGTTAAAGCAAGGCACAAAAATTCTAGTGATCACCTCTGGAAACTTCCCTCCTCTGCTTTCGAAATATGAGTAGACATGAGTTGTTCCCTCAGGATATTGATTATGGTGAGTTAACTAAAACAGACTGATAATTAATGAAAAATCAATTATCGAATGGTCGATGTGCGTACCTTGTACGAGTCAGCTAAATACAATACATTTTCTACAAATTCGCTCATGTTGAGCCTAAACTAGTAGAATGGTGGACGTCTCGCGCGCTAATTGAACAGAAAACACCAAGATATAGCGGAATAAGAAAAAACTAAAGTGTCCTGTTCTGGAAAAAACGCAAACAATAACAATTGAGATAAATAAAGAAGTATCACTATGAATCAACACCAAAATATTTGCAGAACTTTGAAATAATATACGCTTTACTCAACAAATAGTAACCACCAACAGACGATGATTTGATAACAAATGCATAACTTTAATTCAACAAGTAGTGTACAATTCAACATGGGTACATAACAAAGACAATGCGAACAGACCATCTGGAGTTAACACAACCAAATACGAAAGAAAGGGATTCAGTGCTTGAAATAACACGTATCTCTCATTGGGCATCCATCGGGATGATACTCCGCCATCCAACATGGAGTTACACCGCTGCGAGCTGGATTAACTTTCGACTTTTTGAAATTCCTCGATGCGTCCTCCCGCCAATCTCGGATTTGTGCCATACCACCCGTCACCTGAAAGTAACCCGACTTAGTTACAGCCTAATTTTAATAGTGCTTCGATGAAAAGAACAAGGAATATGTCAAACTATCGAGTACCAAAGAGGAATGAACATATAATATTAAACAAACTTTTCATAGATCTGCCATTCGTTAAGAGAGGTAGAAAACTCATTGAGAGAGTTAGGCAACCAAACAGATGAACTGAAGCTACATAAATGAGAAGGTATGGAGTAGCACGTGCAACATAAGAGACTAGAAATTGTCGGAAGAAGTACAGCAGACCATAAAATAATATCAGAGGGCCAAAGATGGAAAATTAAGAGATTGGAAGTTCATGCACCACTTGTGGAGGCATTCATTTGAAAAAGATTTCTTAACGAAGCTACTCTCATGTTGATGATGCACATCTTGAACTTTCACACTGTTCAATTAACCGCCCGTTAGTAGAAGCGACAGCTCATGTATTCAGATATTTTTGGCAGCAAAGCATCCAACGTATTTTTGAGGCGAAAGCAATTTAAAAGTAGATGACTGAGTGCGGGTGCACAGAACTCATGTATGCAAGTCTTGTTCAACAATGCAAATGAGAGCAGAACATACTCGAATCCACTTTTTTCAGCAACCATGAGAGCCCTGTGAGGGGACTCTCGCAAGGACAAAAGAAAATTACTGGCTGTAAACTTAAAAAGTAAAAAGGTAACAAGTAGGAATATTCACAAACGATTGCGCGCGTTAAATTCAAAAACGAAATACTAAAGTTACGCACGCGAAAGCAGTTATGCTATATCCAGTCAGCCTGAATTAGGACAGATAAGAGAGAGGGAGCTGCACTTCGTTCACGTTTCTTTGCGTCTTATCTCACATGCTCTACATACACACTCCTTATCACCCAACATATTTTTTCGGACTGCACGACTCCGTTACGAACTTCTAGTCTGTTTCTGAATAAACTGTCAATTGAAACAGAATCGTGCCATTTGGAACATAGCGACGTGTCCAGAGCTTATCAAAAACTAGGCAAATGGAACTCGAACCTTGAACACTTGGTGTTGATTCCTCAAGAAAGTTTGTAGCCCTCCACACTGTTGCTTCATCAACTGTTTTTCTTTGGCTGTCAGAAGTGCGGCTAGTTTTTGGAGTTCAATAGCTCCACCACATCGCCAACCGCTTAAAACATACATTATCGGAAATTTGTAAAGGGAATAAAAAGTGGTAAAGGAAACCCTTACTTTTTCACCCTCTCATCCGCCTCCAAAAGTTTGAAGAAGAACCTTTTTGTCAAGTCTAACCGGATATCTTTTGGAACGTTCAAGCAATTACGCACCTAGAGCAAATTTTAAAAAAGCGCTAATTGTACAAAGTGGGCTGAATAATAAAGGAAGCCAGAAGCGATGAACCTGTTCCACTCTACTTCTTGGAAGAAAAACGTTTGTAGAGGGGCTAGTCAGTTTCCGTATGATTTCGTCAACATCATGAGCAAGTCCTTGGGGAGGGATGGTACAAACAAAGCACAGCTAAAAGTTCAGGTTTAGTCTAGCATAGAGGACTACATTCACGTAGAATAACTTTCATAGCACATAAAAAGGCTGTAAAGAGAAAAAACATACAGGTGATATGGAAAAGTGAACATGCCTATTTCTGGTTTAATCTATAATTTTACCTACCCTTTTAGTACTGGGAATGCTCAAGCGATCTTCTTCGACAATGAATCCCAAACGCGTGCAGACCTTAAACTCGAAAATTATCATACTACTACTAAAATGCCCAACACCCGCGTGGATTCCTCACTGGAGATTTTGTGATAAATTCGAACAACTTTGGCCTCTAATCTTCCTCAGTTGAACGTCCCCATCACTCCATTCTGTCTTTGTTTCAATACCGCAACTTATTCGCTTTCTATGCTAATGTAACATAGCATTTCAAATAAGAGACAATGGCGAACAATCGTATTTGATATTAGACCCGATCTACCCTTGAAGAGCTATACGTAATCCGACTCGAATAACCGACACCAGAATTTGTTTAAAAGTCGAATAGACTGTCATGGCTCCTGCACATAAAACATTCACTTATCAATTCACTTTTTTTGAGTCCCCTCATGACCCCTTCATACATTGCGGCGAACGATGTATGCAAGGAATTCGGTGACATACATTATACCACTTATCACTGCCTTTCTTTGGAGTGCACATTTTCCTTTTTAATCATTCAGGTCAGAGTTTAGATTCACAGTTGACGTTGAAAATCGACCCGTATAATAGATAATGGTGAATTCAGTAAAGAGAGACGCATAATTACCGCACAGAAACAAGCATGGAAAATTTAATGTTGGAATATGTTGCTCTTCGTATTGACAGGCCTATTTGACTTGATGGGCGGAGGTGGTGTAGTGGCAAGTGGCGCACTATATCACACGCACGGTCAGGGATTCGAATCCCGGCTCGATGCCAACCACCCAAGCCTTCCATCCCTCCGGGGTCGGTGAATTGGTACCAGACTCGTCTGGGGGATAAAAGCACTGACTTGTACATCGGCTAGCCACCGCAAGTCATTGTATAGGCCACATACGCACTAATTACGCCACTACGATTCTAAATGGAAGTCGAGTGCGGGGGCGCATTCCTCAGACGGGATTGATTGACGCCAAAAACTTTATCCTTTATCCTTATTTGACTTGATGTCTTGTTAACTGACGTCATTTCGCCGCAGCACGCGTTCCAAAAGTCTCACACGGTTGACGATTTATGGATAAAACTTCGGTCTCGGGACTTGAACCCTTACTTGTGCCCGAGAAGCACAACTACGGGTTCGAGTCCCGTCCGAGACTGAAGTTTGGTGCATGAATCGCCAACACTGCGTGATAGCCTATACTATATCAGCCATAATATCGTCCCGAGTTCTTTTTTCGTCTGTTTGTGGGTCCACAAAATCAGTGCGTGTGAGAAGAGTAGCTCCATCAAAAAGTACCTGCGACTGGCACAGCGGGGTAACAAGAGGTTATCCAGTACCATTCAAATGCAATGTTACGACTGTATTCCTTCATCCCATTATTAGACAAAACAGTTGAAAATCACTCTCACAGTTATTCTACGATGTGCCGACTTTGCGACAGGAGAGGAAGCGAAGTAAATCCTTCCATAGCTTAGAGGTTGTGGTGAGGAAAATTATCAGACCAGTGGACTCCCAACAATATCAGGAAAAAAAGTAACTGTTACAGTGCGACTTTAACATGCTTGCACATCTTCTCCACATAAGTTTACCGGCAACTACTCATTTCCTCTTATTCACCACACAAGCTGCGTGAGTCACATCTTGACCAGCACAAATGTGAGAAGGGTACTAAGAACTGTGATTGAAGACCTACATATCTATGGAAGAAGCCAGTCAACTTGGGAATTGAGAAACCAATCAATATACAGTACAGAAACATGTACGAGACTTGGTATGAACCAGAATACCATCTGCAATTTGACCCTCTTCTTCTAGTAAGCACAACCGGCCAGTATGCTGATGGCGCAGTTCTATCCGCGGAGTAATCAAAGACGGTGCAACCACCGAAACCTTCATCATTATGAATAAGAGCCTTTATTCAAGTTTACCTTACCTCTCTTATAAATCCTAGGAAAGCATTGTATTGACTCCCTCTATCACCTGGTCGGGCAGTGTACTTGCCATGGAAGTTAAAAGGACAACAGGGTAGAACGAAAAAATCGCAATTGATCCTAGAAAAAAAGTTTAAAAAAAAAACTTTCGTTTTCCCCATAAGAAGGCAATTTATCACATGCTTGTCTTTTACAAAAAAGGCCCACCTTGCAGCCATGACTGGCATCCAAGGAGTGAGCTCATCTGTATGATTGCCAATCAAGTAATCCACACCTTCAGGTAACGCAACGTCTTCCTACAAAAATTTGATTAACCCAAACTCAGAGTAGCAATACTCGGGCATCGGATTTCTGGAGGCAAGAACTCTTTTTCATATGTAAGCTACATCACTGCAACAAAGAATACGAGTGTTTTCAAGAACTTTCTAGGAACAGGAAAGCGTGACACAATGCGCTTTTCTGAAAGGACGATGTTCGGAACTTATCTATACACGAAGGGAACCCGGAACCTTTGCATACGCCAAGGAATCGAAGATCAATTGGGACACGAACACGTTATGCGATATGTGATGGCCGTTGAACCAGGGCGGTTACTGACTGCATCCCCCGGGACGTGAGGGACGGCTGCCAGCGCGATGGCGAGATTTCTTCACGGAAGCTGTGAACAGAAGGAACCCTATGCCTCCACAGGACCACTGCGGCTCACCGGGAGGCGCGCGATTCACGCGCCAATATAATGAGGTCATCGCGCACGCAGCATCGTTTCAGTACCTTCCTGTTGAGATGGACCAAATAAATCTGCAGTAGTTCACGGCTTCACCATGAATAGAGCAAATCTCTTTACTATGGCAAAAAAGCCCCTTCGAGACTGAGAATTCACCTCATAGGTCAACAATTTACTAGTCAAACGTTCAAAATAAGAATACCTTCAAATTTTTTGATCCTAGTAAACGCATCTGTAAACGTGCATAGTTAGTCATTTCTTTACTTATTCTACTTATAAGTTCTTATAACTTCCGTTATGATGGTAGGAATGATGTTTTAACGTGATTTGTCCGATGACCTCATTATATTGGCGCGTGAATCGCACCACACCCCGGCTCACCAAGGGGACGAATGGAGACGTCACTGGCACCCACGCGAGAAAATCGATGATCAGCGGGACGGCAGGTGACACAGGGGAACAATACATTTAGCTGTTTCACAACGACAGAAGAGAACTTTGAAAATCAGGATATCTGCGAGATTCATAGGTCGGTAGAAGTAGATAGTAGTTTGAATAAAGGAACAATCAAGAAAGCCTTCGAAAAAGAAGAATCGAAATGTACGACTTTGAGTGGTCATTTTTTTCTAGGGTACTCTATGCTCTTCACAGATCTTTATCCTCTTTGGCTTCTTTCCAAATAGAGCATGACACCACCCAAACACTACTGTTCCTCATTACAACGTACTAGAATTTCTCATCACACATTTTTACGCAACATTCTTGAGATCAACGGAAACGGATCGCTTCCATTTACAAATACATAGTATTAAGGGTTCGTTAATGATTACTGAGAGAGGTTTGGATTGGCAGAATCTTATCCGGCTCTTTCCTAAAGGTTACATTTCGACTCATTGGACCAAAGTACAAACGGCGCGCTACGACGTACAAATGAAAAAAAGCGTGATGAAATGCACAACAATGATCCGGATCTCGAAATAGAAATAATCCAGATATACAATAAGATACAATAAGCGTTAGAAATACCTTGGAAGGATCAACAACTTCCTCGATAAGTGTAGTATCACGCAGCAGCTCTAACCATATTTTCCTTCTTCGTATATCAACACCGACTCCACCTACCTTAACAGACAGTTAAAAAGACTGATTATGGAAACAAATATTTCTGTCTTATGTCTCTCAACCATCGTAGGTAATCGTGATCAAAGAATTAGTATGAAAACTAATCGCTAATAAGAGTAGGAAAAATCAAGCTCTTGTTCTAATGTAACATCGTACTGTGAAACCAAGGTGTTTTTGACGCATATGAGCATGAGCGAGCATGGAAGATGGAAAAGGAGGACTATTGAGAACCAGTTAGTTTGTTGATTCAAAAACGTTAAACACCCACACCCTCCTTGTTTAGCAGGTACACCAACAATCCATTCCCGCATCCTATATCTGCAATTTTTTTTGGCGTGCGACCACGTTTTCTCCAGAATTCCTGAGTGCAAAAAATTACTAGATCGCCAATGTACACTGGGAAAACAAGCATACCAGGAGATATGCAGCTATACCGCAATCTTCATAAACGAACTTTTTTGGATCTGTCTTCTCAGTCCATGTCTGAACAATACAAAGGCAACAGGTCAAGAACCACTTCGAAAAAGAAGGAGAAGAAATACCTCCACAAGCTGCCGACCGTAATTTTCTTTTAATTTCCTGTAGCGAATGCTATAACTCTCTATGTCCAGTAAGGCGTTGGTTTTCCGTATTACCCTTTTTGGGTCAATGAATCGCAGCCATTTGAATAGAGCAGGAAACATATTGTTAAGCAGCCACTGGCATTCCGTGTCTGGGATGCCATTTGGCACAGCAAGAATGAAACGCAAACTGAAACTAAAAGAAAATCAAAGAGCAAAAAATATGATTACTAGATATGCTGAGTTTGGAGACAGGGAGGTCACACTTACCTCGAACTATTCGTTTGAACGCAGCTCAGTTTGTAAGGAAACGGAATGTGAATATTTTTTTGAGAATTGAGATCTAACTGAACAGGAACGAATACAACAGTTAATACGTCTGAAAAAGGAGATGTTCAAGCAATCAAGGAGCAATCGCCGCTATGAAACCATACCTTCGTTGAAAGAAACCTCGTACGTAGCACAAGACAATGACGCATCCTTAGGAATGAGCTTGCGAACCTCACATTCCATCATTCCGCTGGGTTCAACGCTGGCTAAAGTCTGGGAATACAAAAACCATGCACAAATAAAAAGTAACACTTGCGAACACTCACAATAGTCAGCTTTTTGGGTTGCAAGCTGGACAACGCTGGCATATTCTTCTGCTTCGGCAATTATCGGGACAGTGCCAGTAAGGCGACGGTTCACAGATTGGGATTGGGTTTTCCAGATGAGTATTAGCTAAAACATTAGTTATGGCTTTCTGAAGCACATATTAGCAGAATAAATACGATGAAATGGTGGGTGAACCTTCTCAAAATAATCTTGGGCCTGCACAGGGAAATCATATGTAGCTGTATCATCACACAGTGTTCTCCACAACATCCACGAATACTGAGAAAACAGAATTTGCCCAATAGTGGTACCGATAAGTTTCAAGTATGCGGAGAAAGTTCCAGTTGTAACTCATATAGAATACGTTAGGTGCAGCACTTTATATTGTTGAGATCAATACGCATCAAAGTAATCAAAATAAAAACAACAGAGAAAACAAAGGTTGAAGTGAAGAAACATAAGGGACAACCAGTTGTGTTCCTCTACTGTGACACATATCCATAATTTCGCATCCTGTCGGAAACATCTGATTCAGCACCCGTATTAGTTCCGATTGAGCCAGATGAATCTTAAAGAGCTAAAATAAGCTCAGAAGAAAAGATAATATGTGGGTTTGTGGCATTCCAAGGCAATGCGGGATATTTGCATCATGCCTCAATAAAAGCATCCAGCGACGAGAAATGATGCAATAGTCTGCAGACCGCCTACAATCTGGCGAACCCGACTTAAAGAAAGGCTATCAAATCAATATTCTTATAATCTCATACTGTACAATGGGAGATTCAAAACTATTAGGTTGATGCATAATTATTGCGGATTTTCGCGGCTTCTTTTCTCCCGATAAACTTAAACTTTTGAAATCGGGATTTTTGTAGGTATAATCTTCTTGCTTTCTTTAACAGAAATATGTCTAGAAAGTCATTTCCATATACGCCAAATTATGCTCTATTACTCCGAGAAATGTTGGAAGGCGGCACACTCATAATGTGATCTCAACGAACTTCTCGGCGGTGAACAGTCAGACAAAACCGAATAAAGAATGGAATTTGCTTCTGCTGTCGTCCCAATCACCAACAGAAACTCCTATGGATTACCACGTTAATCGCCTTTTGAAAAATTGATTAGCGAGCACAATTTTCGACGAATTGGATGGTTTGATGACCAACGTCAAGGCGTGATCGCCTCCGAGAATCGAAACTTCTTCGCCTGTGGAATCCGACCGCCTAGCAAATGGGAAGCAGTGATTGACGTAGATGATGGATATGATCGGAAGCAATCATTTGAACATGTCTTTGCTAGATATTTCTATCGCTTCTTCAAGTAAAATTTGCTGAAAAAAATCCGCGATATTTATGCACCAACCTAATAATTCGTTATCTGGCTAGTAGCATGTAAGAGTCGGAAATATGCGAAAAAATCAACCTACAGAATTTTCAAAAACATACCTCGACTGGTATTAGTATTATAATTATATGCATTATGAAAAGCCGCCTGATCCAAAGCTGTCTTGTATTGATATTGTTGCAGTTCTCCATGATATTTATTCAGTTTCTCGTGATACTCTGCCAGCTGAACAGGCATTTCAAAAATCTCATTTCAAAAAATAAGTTTGGGATTGAATTGAGCTCAACAGATTAACTTTCAGTGAATAAGTTTAGCAAAAGTATTATACGACGTACTCATAAGGAACGAGGGCTAGGGAAACGCAAAATTCTGTGATCTACCGTAGTAACAATGGAATTTTCATTAGGATACGTCCAACAACACAACATTTTTAGCTTACTTCGAGTACACAGCTGTTTTCCCTACCTGTTTCTGATACTCCTGCATTTGTAACAGATATTGTTCGTATTCACGCCGATATTGTTCGCTGTGTATATCAATCTGTGATGGGTAGCTACAATTGGTGTATGCGGAAACCTGAATTATTATTAAAAACGATGCGAACACAGGTGAGACGATTTCCACCTACCATAGAGGGTAGTTGAGGTTGTTGAGGAACGAGAATGGTGCGAACCTTGTTATACCCAGCATATCCATGCTTTTGCTGAAATTGTCGTATTAATGTTGTGGCGCATGCCCACATTTCTTCACATTTGGACACAACCCTTGCTCACCTTTCAATTATACAATTCGAGCTTGATCTCACCCTTCAATAATACGGCACGTTCTTTTCGAGAATACTGCATAATATTCTAAAGCTTCTCCCATACCACCTTGGGGAAGGAATAATCTCCTTATTCATGTCAAATGAAATCGACTAGGCTATAGCAAGCTCATAATTCCACACTTTCCATTCCAGCCTTGTCATTCGAATATTAGGTTGAGTCACAAGTCCTCGGACAAAATGATAGCTATGACTTCTAGAGATCATAACTCGGGAAAAATGCGACGAAAATGGACGCGCGTGGCGTTGTTAGATAGAGTATGAAAAGCTCTTCAGAATGACACCTAACAGTTTCCTTTCCTGCAACCATGCCCCATGATTTCAAGCCATCACAAATCCACCTCCGCAACACCATCCTATTTCTTTTTTTATCTGGCCAAGAGCCAGCGGAGATCGATAGACGTATTAAGGAGGTCCACAAGAAGGGTGCTCGTGCCAGATGCACAATTCACAAGTGGCACACGAAGTTCACGTTGACGACCTTTCCATCGAAAATGAAGACCGTCCGGGACGCTCAATGGAGTTGGATTTGAAGGTGCTGCGGAGCCAGGTGGAATCCGATCCGTATCAAACTACTCGTGAACTGGTAGTCACCCTTGGGAAGACAGTCTACAATTATTCGTGGATTGAAGTCAATCGGCAAGGTGGACAAGCTCGGTCGATGGGTGCCTCATGCTTTGAAGCAGTATGACATGGATTTCCGCGCCGACATCGCACTTTCTCCCCTCACGCTCAAGCGCAGGAGATGGTCAGGTGTACTCGCTAGTATGTATTTGGAAGAGCTCTTCATACTCTATCTAACGATGCCTCGCTCGTCCATTTTCGTCACCTCTTTCCCGAGTTATGATCTCTAGAATAATCACTTTGACATTGTCCGAGGACTTATGTCTCAACCTAATATTTGAACTGTGTGGCCACGAAACCTTTCAACTCGCAATTTCCCGCATTCTGACGATCTCTTTCGCTCTAAGACGATCCTTCTATACATTAAACTCTACCCCTGTTAATGAACCACCTACACCTCAAAACATAAATAGACTGATGACGTATTCATGACAGCCGGATCCCCCAGCTAACGTCGGACTCTCCTCCTTCTTGGGTTGAACTTGACCCGCCGCCTGCATCCTCCCGATTTCAACAGCCCTGGTAAAGGAGGATAGGAGTTTTTGATTTCCAGCGAAAACACACATCGACACCCTTGGATCGCGCCCTCCCATAAGCGAAATCCAACTCAAGCCCTGCAGTAACATGGTTGATTCCTCTCATATTTCAACTTTACTGTGTGTTTTCGCTCAAGTTACGCTCATTTTGCACGAGGTTCGCTCCTCCATAATCCAGGACCCACGCGAGCGGGATCCAGTTCTCTCACTTTCTACTACCTCTCATCAGCATCCTAATCCTGCAGCCTCTACCAGTGCTAGTTTGAACGCCCTCCGTCCGAAGTAGTACTTTTCTCGCACGCCTCGCCCCTTGAGGGCGGAGTCAGATCGTGCAGTTACCCATCAGCATTCCCATCCTACCGCTGCACCCCTAGCAAATTTGATCGCCCTCGGTTAAAACTAAAAACTTTCCGTCTCCTGTGGGCGGAGTCTAGTCCTAACACTTATCATCAGTGTTCCCATTCTGCCGCCTGAACATCAACAAGTTCGAAGGCCCAGGTCCAAATTGGCAGTTTTCACGAATGCCCCGCCCATTCGTGTAAAGTCTAGTTGTGTCACCTATCACCAATATTCTCACAATGTCAGTGTATCCTGTACTCCTGCTGAATTCGAAGCTCTATGTCCAACGGGAACAAGAGCCATGAATTTTCGCTCGTTTCTTAAGAGCAAACCCCGCCTCTTCTAAGCGCAGTCTAGTCCTGCCACCACCATAAGTGTTCTCATACTGCCTACTGTACTCATACAAAATTTGAAAGCTCTAGGTTCATGGGAACGGGAGTTATGAATTTCGGTCAGACAAACACATACATATAAACACAAACACCCTACAGACACACTTAGCGGAATGTAAGTAAGATACATGGGATGAATGTACAGCCAGCTTCGCACTCAGAGGTTTCCTCGTCTCCTTTGCAGCAGTGCCGCAATCTAACAATTACAAGATTCCCTGGTCATGTATGACTGATCGCGCGGACGTAGTGAAGCTCCAGGGGCCACACTATCACAGCATAGTTGAATCCCGTCCAGATTAACCGAACCTTCCATCCTTCGTGCCTCTGAACTATCAACCTTCCATCCTTTAAAGTCGCCAAATTGACGATGGACTCGTGTGGTAGGGTCTGGCCTCATCACCAGCTCATCTGGCCATTGCAAGTCGGTGTAAAGGCTACATACGCTCCGAAACGCCACTAAGATTCTGAACCTAACAATAGGTCGAATGCTGGCGGAACGAACGCTTAGCGCTGAAGTCTCTCATCGTGGTAGTACGTGCAACGGTATGACCACCAAACAGTTCGCAAACAGCAGTGATCTCTTACAACTTTCACGAATGAAGACCAATGAACTTCCTTACTTCATCCAAAATAATTAACTTTTAAAAAATGCGGCAAAACATAACCGTGCACTGCGCTCAAAGAAAATATCTACTTACGTGTTCTTCCAAATGCGCTCGCTCCCTTTCAGACTGTTCAGCTAGCTTGAACTGTTCCTTAGTGACTGCTTTTCTGACAACGATCGACCTGCATAAATTGAGATTTAATGTATAAAAGTCTCGAAATTAGAACACGAACCGTCCATTGATACAGTGATTCAGCTTCAAACATGATTCGACAGCTTCTTCATTGCCAAAGGTAATGATTGCATAGTAAAGAAGCTTTCCTTCCTCATCCTTGAACAAAAACTATAACAGCACAGACATCCTGAATGGCATGTAAGATGTTTGGCCAAGCTCCGCCTCAAGCGCGATCATCTTAGCTTTATTACTGATTTCGTTAGAGATTTGGCATGATTTTTGTGACTGGGTTTCTTCATCAGTCGGCCTGTCTACCTGGGCCTGACGCTGGAACCGATACCATTTATGCCATGTTTGCAAGGCATGGGTTTCGTCTCGGCAGGGATCGAACTCACGTTCTTTCTAGTGCAGACATGAGTCTATACTCTTATCCACTCAGTCATCCCTGCGCCTCAGGCGCGACCATGTTCACGCAAAAAAATGTAAAATTACTACTTCAAGTGTAAATATACGCAGTATTCTAGAGCAGTAAAAAGCAAAGGGGTAGAAAACAATGAAGGAGTTTTCGGCATCTGCTTTCGTGAAAAAAACGCTAAAAAAGACCATAGCCCAACGCTATACTTTACGTCTTTTTTCTCTCCAACCACCATTTTTACATCACATGTACTAATTTGCAAATAATTCCTAAACAGCAAGAGTGGAAAGATGCATTAAGGACCGCGAAATTTGCTGAGACAGGTCCCAATATGACAACAGAATAGCAGCGAAACCCTGCGAGAAAACCACCCTGGACACTTGAAATTCGTCCCAAATATCTAATATTACACACTGATCATTTACCTTCTAAAAAACTATAAGGACTGTAATCTACCTGTTATAATAACCATCCATCTATGGTCTAACAATTAGAGCCAAATGGCATTGAGGAAAGTGGCAGATGGCAGATGACGCCGCTACCACAAATGTGGTGTGGAATCGTATACCGAATCAGTGGGTGAACACAGATTTCTATCCTCCTGGTCTCCATTAATTGGTAACGGAGTCGTATTGATCAAAGCTTAGAACTTCATCTCCATCCTCTAGAGGGATCGGAGCAGGCAATAGGCAAGCAAAGAGTCCCTTTTCACGCGATCGCTATGAGATTACTCTGCGACAAGAAGACGCCAATACAGATCTTTGAGAGACTACAGAAGTCCAAGTATCGCATCTACAACTTGTGAAGAGGTAAATGAACTCACTCGAGAAGCCCTTAAAGGAAAAACCAACTATTGGATAGAGCGATCATTTAGTTAATAAATGAAACAATGTATCCATGAATTACATAAATCTAATGCAACAGCAGGCGAATAAGCCCTAGCCGCAATGTACTTGGCCGTCAGCTGTCTGGCCTAGTAAAACAAAAAGCGCAGGATAACCAGGCTTTACAAAATGTCCCCCTGAAAGTCACTGGTCTACAGAAAGAAGTACTTGCAAGAGCAGAAGTCGGGTGTTCCTCCACCTACAGCAAGGCTTGCTTATCGATGTCGCCTTCTGCGCTTCTACAGATCTACATGTCATCACATCCCGTCGTGAACGTCTAATTAGCGCAGATAACTGCCCAAACACTAATGCCAATCTACCAGAAGTGAAAGGAGGAGTTAAGATAAATATAGTACAGTAAACAACGTTCATAGACACCTCCTATACGCAATGGTATAGCAGTCACAGTTCAAAATATGTATATTGAAGTGCCGTCGCAGCCGTGGACCAACGCTGCACGTGAATTCCAAGCTCTGCGAAGAAAGACAGCCAGTTTTCTCTGCCGCACTTCTTTTTCGATGGGTAAACGTGATAAACGAACATTTGTCTCCCTCTATTATTGATTGCAGTGCTTAGGATAACAGTGGTCAGCTAGAAAAACAACCACACCTTGGTGGAGGTCAGAGGTCCCGATGATGAATAACAAGCGTTAGTTAACCGTGCTTCCCAACACTACGAGATCCGATAGTTCAGGTCATCAAGGTGTTCCACTATGTAAATAAAGCAACAATCCCGTCTCCCTGTCTTCACAGGGCGCATTCTAGCATTTTTAATAATGAAAAAGCAACTTACTCGGGCAAAATGTACAGACGAGACAGGTCCGTAAGAGGAAAACGCCTGTCTAACGGAGTCCTCAGTGACGTTTTCTACCCCAAGAAAGCTGACGAAAAGCCTTCGTGACCTCAACGCCTCCATCTTCGTCAGGCTGTCCTAGGTTGAAACTCTTGAAACACAGTCAATGCTATGGCTTAACTTGCCTAGAAGAAACGCCCAAACTCACTTCATCTGTCAACCTCGTCACCTTTATTTCCCTGTTGCGAACCTTATGCGTGGGCACCTCCAAACACTCTGCCATTGGAGTCTCATTTGAAAAGGCGATATAAGCATACCCTCTATTCAAACCTTAAAAATGTTAGTATTGCATATACAAAGCATGTCAGGAACACTTTCAACTCACCCGTTTCCCTTTCTACAGGCAATGTGAATTCAGATAATGGACCAAATTGAGAGAAATACGCCCTGATTGCCTCTTCAGGCACCGTGTTGGCAATACCGGTCACAAATAACCTCCGACCGGGCATCCTCTAGTGGACCATCAGGGACGAGGGCGGAGCACAAGGTCGGAGGATGCGAGGATGCAGCACATGGAGGAGCGAGTTGCGTCGCAAGCGTTGCGGCCAGCGGCGCGGCTCGTGTTTTGCCGTCCATGCGGGCGCTTCTCCGCTCACGTTGCTCGCTCTTCGGTGGTTTTGCTGAGTTTTCACTTCGTGTAGGACTGTGGTGGCTTTTTGATAAGGTCATTAGGCGGTTGGAGTGCACCCTACTGTGTTTGGATAAGCCTACTTGTCGTTCGCGATCGTTGCAGAGGTCTCTTTTACCTGTTATGATACCTAAGCCAATCAGAATATGGAAGAAGTTTGCTCGGGGTTTTGGCCCCTCTTAACGTTTCGGCTAGTATTGTTAATGGAAAAATACAGGTTAAAAAGGAAACTGCTCACTATTTTACACCTTCTAGACACCTTAAATGGGGAATCTCTTTTGGATTCTTCTTGTTTTCAATTCTTCATCTAATGACTTTTACTTTTTCTTTTCCTTCTTTATCTCCTTCCATTTTGTTTGCTCTTTTTTATTACTCTTACTCGATACTTGTTTCGCAGTGATTTCTACCAATTTTCATTCCTCATTTCAGAGCTAGTGAAAGCAAGCAACTCTCTTCAGTGAAGAAAAAGGCAAGAAAGCAATCTGAAGGAAATTCTCTGGGATAATTCTCATCGTAGATCTCCACGTTTAAATGAGGTTCATAACCTGCAAGAAATGAAATAAACTAGGTTCTATAATCCCAGTATGCAAAAATGAGCTTGCAGGTGATGTCGAAGCGATCCCTGTCAGACAATAGTGATGGATCGGATCAGGACGACTCGCATTCGGTTTCCGATGACCAGGAGATTGCTGCAAAGAAGCGGCGACTAGTCGCTTTTGAGACTGTACGACTTCTATCCGTCACTGGCGTTGTGAGTCTATTAATCCTCATCTAAATCGAGTTGTTGCAGTAGTAATTGTAAAAAACAGCTAAAGAAGGTGTTGCTACATTTCAGAATGACATAGATGAGAAGAAGGCAAAGGTGCAAGCTTATAAACTCTCTGAAGCTCTCCGGCACAAGAACAAACAGCTTAAGACGAAAGAGAGAGAGATTGAAAGGCTTCGACAACGTCAAATGACCGACGAGAACACAAGCTGTACCATAAATCGGCATTGGAATAACGTAAGTGACTGCATCAATGGCATTCGAATTACTGTTCTGGAGTAAAGGGTGCATAGTTTGAGCGAAATAATTTAAATAGAGCTTATGAATTGAAGAGCAGTGTTTTTGGGTCAGCAAAAAGAATAAACATAGAAAACATCTGGAACGGGAGTTTCTTTAGCTTCTTTCAAGTAAATTTGTAGTTACTGGAAAGCATTGTGTGATATACAAAGATAGTTGTTGGGAAGAAAAAAGTGTTGGAGTGTTGGAAAAATTTTTTCTTTTTTATTTTCTACCAGCGATTTTCAATAAAAAGTTACCGCACACTCACTGATTCTTCCAATCTGCTAAATCACCCGTACATCCCTGTTCTACGAGTTTTGATTATAAACAAATGTTTTTTCTTATTTTAAACTTTGTGACCATCTTTAAAGTTACTCTATTTTTTTTTCAAGTTGGACGAGCAGTTACGACTAATAGCTTTGCGTGGTGCATCATCTGAAGAAGTCGAAGAGCTGCTCGAGAGCAATGACGAAGCTTCTACAGGAGATTTCTTGGACGAAATTGTACAAATGGAGGGTGTTCAAGGAGAGCATGTATACGACAAACGAGTGCAACAAAGGTTTCATTATTTCTGTGCCCTGGACCAGCTCTTTATGATTACATCGCTTCTAACAAATTTTTCCAGTGTTCGTCTCTTCGAGAAGGTTATGCTGCAACTCTCTCGAAAATCGGAACATCATCGAGCGTTCAGTAAAAAGCTGATCAGTTTCTTCGAGTGTTAGTTATTACTTCTATTTAGCGATCGTTTTCTCGTTATGCTAATCTGTCCATGTAGGGTTTTATTTCAGATCCTTTTAGCTAATTCATCCTTTGATGTTAGTCTGTGTTTCCCGCCTAATCTTAATTACTTGCTTATTTCCCCCTTCACTATTTTTCTGTTCACAGCAAAAACGAAAAAAGCCGAGCACATACATTCTCAGATTGTTGAAATGAATGTAGTGTGGTTCTACCCTAAAATTCCATTGATAAGAGCGGGTGAACCTACCGGTGAAAAATGAATTGGAAAAAATCGAAATTGAATGCAGTCACCCCTCTAACTTGATGGATGGATAAATTAAACTTCGAAGAAGAAGTTAAGAAGAAGCTCCNGGAGCTTCTTCTTAACTTCTTCTTCGAAGTTTAATTTATCCATCCATCAAGTTAGAGGGGTGACTGCATTCAATTTCGATTTTTTCCAATTCATTTTTCACCGGTAGGTTCACCCGCTCTTATCTATGGAATTTTAGGGTAGTTTGATTTAGGGTCTTTATTGTCTTTATTTTGTAACAAAAGGCGCATTTCCAGCATCTTCTCTAGCCGGTGAAAATCGAGATGAAGCTTTCCATAGTGTAGTAGTAGAGAATGAGCGGTTAACAGAAGAGAACAGCCGCTTACAAAGGGAAATAAATCGTGCTCAGCAAAAATATGCACGGTCCAGCCTTAAGGTGAGTTTGTAGTGTTGGATTTATTTTCAGCAATCATCATAATCAAATCTTTATCAGTTGAAAGAATGTGAGGACCAAATAACGTTATTAACCACTCGCAATGAAGAACTCGCAAGAGAGTTGGAAGAAGCCAAGTTCGATCTCGATAAAGCGCAACGGCTAGTGAACAAATTGGATTATAAGCTGTACACGCTTGCTAAGGTAAGAGCAAAGCATCTGCTCTCCATCCATCTGTCTTTCAGTTTTCAAATAAAGACAGTATTCGCTTAACTTCGCGATAATTGCGTTTGTTAACAATTGCGATGCATTAGAACCTTTATTGAAATGGCCTGTGATCTTTCACTCGAAAGAAACCGAACACGGCAGAGGGTTCGACACTAATCCTTCCTTCTTAGATCCTGAAGGATAGAATGAGTGAACAGATTGTGAATGCTTCTTGATTCTTTTGCAGGAAATTTTATATGCAAAACGGGGCATACCACTATAGACGGCGCTTCCTGGTCGACAGGTCTGAATGGTTTTCGTTCAAGTAGAGTTCTTTGTTGTGATTGAGCCCTTATTGGCATAGCATCGGAAGATCATCACCGTTCTTGGTGGAAATTTTACTGAATAAGGGGCTATTCTTAGAGATGTGAGTCGAATTCAGTAAAAAGTTTGCGGATGCCAATTGTTAAAGTAATGAGTGATGGGCGCTTCATTAGAGCTGGTCTAGAAGTTGAAGATTTTCGTGGCTTTAAAGGTAGATAGAGAAGCTGCCTTGGGTCATGTTCTTCAGTCGACTTCTTTTGTAGCTGTCGCTGAGTTGATTTTTGGAAAAGCCTACGGCAAAGGTTCGAAAATTTAGCAAGAACGGTTGTGTGTGGAATGCCCATTAAATGGTTTTTTAAGAACTGCTCTTATAAGTTCAATTTGTATAATTACCGAAAGTCGTAAGTTCTCTCTCAGGAATGGAACTGCTATTTATTCTTGGTAGATATAGAGGTAATAAAACAAAATAAAGTGAGAAGCACTCGATTTTTTGCCATGAACTTCCCCTTTGTACTAGCGAAAAGTCAACGTGCCACTCAAAAGTTCGTTCATTTTGTTGTGATGTTGGCAATGCGGTACGGTTTAATGTACTTCCATGCGGTACGACTTTATGTACTTCCACTTTTCATTGCTATCTTCGCGGCTACTGAGACCTTATTTTTATTACGGCCTTAATCAATTAACCACTCCACGAAGAGAGTGCCAGTGCCATGCCATGTTTCCTGTTTCCATATCAAACATTTTTTCCATTCTTTCGAGGACGTTGTGAGGGAAAAATCGGTGTTCTTGTCGATACCTTAAGGCATATTCGTTTCCTGTGATGCTTGACTCTATGCTCCCGAACTGCGTTGGTTTATTTTCGACTGACCATAAGTTGATTATTGATGGTTTGGTTTTTGCTTACACATAGTTCATTTTTACGTAACAACAGTAGCAATACTTGTGATTTGTTCTCAGGACAACACGGCCCATTGTGAGGTGCGTCCCAATGCTAAGATGCTTAATGGTGTATCTAACGGTGGAGGAATGAGCGATTCACAGGTTCTCTATCTTACAGTTTCGCATTGCATTAAATTGTCCATTTCTACAACATCTTCTTCAGCTCGAAGAACTTCGCGCAGAAAGTGAATTGAATGCGGAGTTGGCGGCGAAGCGCCTACAGGAAATTCACGAATTGAATGAACGGATACAGAAGTTCGTTGAAGATAGTGTGCGAATGGGATGTGAACTGAAGGTTATTGCTCGGCAATTCTTCTTTCGGTCGTTTATATGTCGCAATCTAATCCCTTATTCATTACAGTCTGCATACAGCTCATCAGCTCAAATTATGCAGAGCACAGAATATCAGAACCTTGTTGCTTTCTATTCCGTTGTTATTGATGAGTGCAGGAGGCTCAGGTTTGTCCTGAATGCTTTCCTCCTCATTTTCACTTTTTACTTTTATGTACTCTAAGTTTAACCCACCAAAATGTATGGATTCATGATTCAGGAGTGATTACGAAGCTGTGACTGAAGAGCGTGATCTGCTTAGACAAGAAATGCTCCAAAAAGTAGAAGAAATGAAGGTGATTCTTACTTTCGAGTTTTTGATAGGTGCCTTCCGAGATCCCCTCTACTTGCTTCAAAAGCTCTCGTTTTAGGCAGATGAACATCAGTCCATGCGAAAAATGCGTTCCTTATGTGAACAGATAACACGGGATTTGAACCAGGTAAACGAAATTCTGTGCTATAATATCACAGTAACATTGATAATAATATAACGTTCAATAATGTTTTTAATATTGATACATCGCGTATAATTTTTTCACCATAAAAGTACTTTTCTACAGTAGTAAACATCTTGTTCATATTTTTGAACCCTAATTCTCATTTCCATTGGCTATAAAGGGGTTTCGGCCATTCAGTTAGTTGAACTTTGAAATGACTGGAAAAAACGATTACGGAATATTTTTTCACAGTAATATCAAATTAATGGTGCAGGTTTTATGTTGTACCCCGTAGTTTTTCGATTAGTTGCTAGATAATTTAGAGATTCGGAGTATAAATTTTTGCACATACGCAGACTCAGGGTTGGCAAATGTGCATAACCTTTGGAAATAAGGTCAAATGTTAAACAGTAGATATGGAAGAGAATTGGCCGACTCACGAGTAGATAATACCATTTGTTTAGTACCAATAGTGTTTGTATGTCGCAAGCATCTCAGGACTAGCTGTTCTGCGAGTCTTCTTGGCCAACTACACTACTCTGAATTTGCGTAAAAGGAGCGATTGCTCTAGCACTCCATAAATTTATAATCATACTTTGTCCCCCAATCATCAATAACCTTTGTAAATAATACCTCCTAATCGGTTGTTTTTCAGATGAGAACAGAATCTGATATGTTGCGGATGGAATTCGAGCAATCGCTTGCTGCCCATAGTAAACAGGTACGAAATGTATGTGAAGCTGCTCATTCTTTTAAATCAGGCTAAGACTTGAATCTTTTTGCTTTTACGTTGGGCCAGATGTTCCGCATCACGAACGACTTTTTTCAAGTTTCTTTTACCACTGAAATCAAATTTGGTAGTCATGAGCAGAACAAATGATTCTGAAAACATTTAGATTTCTTAACAAGTTAGTGACACCAGGGTGTGCCGTTTTTTTTTTCTGTGCCGACGAGCTCATACAGCTCCATTGGACCGCAAGTGTGAAAGATCAGAGAGATGTTCCATTCTCATTTGGAAATGTGCGCAACCAACCAGTGCTTGTCTTCAACTCTGCAGAATAATCTCATCTTTGAAAATACTCAATTTTGGGCTCGTTAAGAGCAGCGATTATCATTTACTGTTATAACAAACATATTTCGGCCTAGTTTGACAAAGTTGCTGACTGTCCTGAGCGCGCGATCATCTTTTTTTTTGGAAAAACTCATCTACAGGAGTCACTTGTTTTCCTGCGAGGAAGCGAATCAACCTATACTTTTTGGTGCATATCGTTGTAATTCATATCTGCCTGTATTTAAATCTCATGGTGAAAGCACTTCACATAGTAATGCGAGTCGTTAGAGGAACAGTTCACGAAATAAAAAAGATTTTCCTTCTATGATTCTGAGATTTTTCCCTTCTTTGATCTTGTGACCCTCAAGGTTAGCCTGAGGGACGCTGTCGGGATCGAAAAAGGTAAGATAAGAACCGACGTAACCTGCGTACACACCCAAGGCGGACGAGTTCTCAGGTATTGTAAAAGCTGTAAAGGTTGCGCCATTTAGAGCGAGACTCACATCCTGTACGCGGGTTGCTTACTGCAACCAGCTTTATGCAATGGTGCGCGCATTTGAAAGGCTCGTCAAAATGTCGCTTCCATGCAACTTCTGTTGGCACAATCTAGTCCAACCTATTATGTGACCTCCTTCTCAAAGCCTTAAATATCTCTAAATATGACGATTTTTGCACTCTCTTCGTCTTTTTGTGACTATTCTGAACTACCACTCCCACCATTCGTCTACAATTAGATAACTCGGAATTATCGTGAGTTGTGCCTTTGAAACTCGGCGTAGGCATGTGGTCCTAATGGCTTTTCGAAAGTTGGACATTAGTGAATGCGGAACATCAGCTCACGAGTTTGTCCTAATTTTCTTCAAGCACATAGGCACTTTTAGGACGCGAAGCAACAGGATATCAAAGTGTTATTTGGTACACTGAAGACCCAAAATTATCAGCTTAATTCGGACGTTGCAAAATATCGGAAGAAATGGAAAGAAGGAGTCAACACTAACTATAAGGTATGTGTATTTTCAATTTATTTAGCAGAGCATTGCTAGTTAATATCCTGTTGAATTAAAGATACAAACGGAACTTGATGGCGAGAGGCGGCGGTTAGAGCGATGCCTTGTCATAGAGCTTGATGATGAGGATTCTAATGAGCTTGCCAGTCCAGATCAGTCAAGAGATGACCTCGATGTTAGTGATGATACCAACGGAGAAAGGTAAAGTTCCATTTCCATTTTATGCACATGTTCTGTTCTAGTCATTATCTTGATTTCCAGTTTAATTTATTTGATTCTGAATTTTAATTTTCGGTTTTTGGCAATCTTTGTCTCATAACCTTCTAGGCGAACGACTTTTCATAGAATCCAACACAGTCTACTCTAGCAACTGTCTCTTACTCGAGAGTTATTTTATGGGAGTTTGATGGAGCACTAATCTGACTCCTTTCAGCGTTAGCAGTTTACAAGCGAAAATTTTGGAGCTGAAGTTGAAACTGGAAGTGTATGCTGATATAGGAACAGATGTAAGAGACAAGGCTGAGGTAATCTCTTCCGTTTTTGGTTTGACGATTCTCCTGTCGCAAATGATAAGTTCTCCAGCTTCTGGTACGCGAGCGTCGGCTGAAAAGGGAGAACGAGCGTTTAATTCATCAGATCAAGCGGTTAGGAAATATTGAACGAAAAGAGAGAATGCGATACTTTGAGGTTCGCTTTATTTGCTTTTTCCCAGTCGGAGTTCCTCAATTTCTCGACGTTTTGAAGAATCCAGAGCATGTATGTAATGTAATGTAAGGCTTTGGGAAGAGTGCTACACCATGTTTGCTTTTTTTCTCCCAATGTTCTTTTGCTTTGTGATTCACACGTGTGGTAGTCGAAAAACTAGATCCATTCCACGTGTTTATTTCGTGTTTAGACGAAATTCCGAAAGAATTTTCCTTTCATGTGTGTCACGTACGTTTCAGATGGATGCCAACCGCCTGTTTGCTCAGAAGGACAGCGAAATAGAGCGATTGAAACGTGAGGTGACAATGCTGAAGGATACTGAAGCCTCTCTAATGCTTGACCTTGACAATACAGGCTCTGTTAGTCTTCTACTGTTTTCAATTTCGGTAATACTTCCAACTCAATCTATCTCATATCAAGGCGCTCGAAGATCTGCAAGAACAAAATGCTAAGCTAATCTCTTTGCAAAAGGAAAACGATGAGGGTCACATCAAAATGATGAACGATCGAATCATCGCGACACAGTTGCAAGTGAAAATCAAGGAGGAAATGGTATCAATGCAAATTTTTGTTTTCTCTTCTTGGCCTCACCTTCATTTTCAGGCTCACTTGGAATCGCAAGTTAACAACTTGACCAGGCAAATTGCGGCGTTACAGTGTGAAAAAGAATCCCAAAATGAGGCTCTGCGGCTGGCACTCGAGACAATCGGTGTGAAGACGAAGGAGAATGTGTAAGCATAATTTAAATACCATTGAACTTTTATCGCCATCAAGATGCGTTGTTTTCGTTCTGCAGTGTGCCAAAGGTCGACCTAAAAATGGACCTGAGCTCATTTTTTGAAGTATCCAAGAATTGTGACCGGGCATCTATCTCACTTCCTCCTACCTTTTAATTTTTCATTTGTTTACCGGCATTATGCCATTATTTATCATTGGATGTTTCACTTTTTGTTTCAATGTAAGTGCCCTACTGCTTTTTGTCGTTAAGAGAACTTAGAAAAGCATGTACAGTCGCAATAAGTTTTTCTCTTATGAACACTTTTTACAAAAGCAACATCTTTTTTGTTTAAGGCGGTCCGATCTTTATTTTTGAAATTTCCCCTGCCGACACTCATTGTTTTTTATTATATTCACTCATTGTGAGGCTCATCTTGATGAATACTTCCTACACTGAAAAATGTTCATCAAATTGGGTAATCGAGGTCTTCCGAGAGCTTCATCCCAACCACTTCTTACCATATGTTATCAGAACCATAAAGAATTGAAACGTTATTCTCCACGTTCAAATTGCGTGCCCGTTAGGGGCATCTTTCATAGTCCACGATTTCGCGAGCGACCAGTCGCACGACTGGTCGCCAGTCGCTCGTGAAATGGGTCCTCGACCGGTCGCGCGACTGGTCGTGAACTATGAAAGCAGCCGGGGAGGTTTCTGTTACTGTAAAGAAGAACGTCATTCAGAGGGAACACATGGATGGAGAGAGGTGGCGAGCCAGTGCGTAGATGAATTTTCGAATTTGATTTGAAAATTAGAAAATTTTACTATTTTTTGAAAGAGTGATTACAGTAGATAGTGCAAATATGGGATATTTTTGGTATGTCATGGGTTCTGGTATAAGGAGCAGTGGTATTTTAGAAAGACGTGGACGTTATAGTTTAACATTGTCTTGTTGATTTGACTACTGCTAATGTTTTCTAATTTCATTTCATTTTCACATTATACTCTCTTATCTTTTTCACTGTGAAATTGTTGTGCCTTTTTGAACGATTTGAGCATGTTTGCTTTGCACCTGTACTTTTGATGATTCAGGCGGCAAAATCGTATGATTGAAGCGTTGAGAAAGCAGCTCACGGAGCAATCGCTGAATACAGCTGACTTGGGGACACGAAGTGAGAAAATTGGAGCGCAGTTGAGAGATATTCAGGAGGTATGTTGTCCCGCTGCCCATTCTTTCTGCTGCTATTCTGCCTGTTAAGTTAAACTTTGTGGAAATGAGCAATTGTTAAGGTAGTTGCTTCGAAGACCCTACAGCTCGAGGTGATCGACCAGCGAAAGCGTCGATTAGAAGAGGAGAACTCGACTTTGCGAAAACGTTTGGAGCGAGCCAAAAAGAGCGAGAAGTTAGGCAGTACAGATGCTGTGTTGATGGAAGAAATAAGGGAACTTAAGGTTAGCGTGACTCGTGCATCAAGTTCATTTGTTATCAAAATCAGAAGGTTCTTCTAGAGAAGTTTCCAAAGATAAAATAGCTTTCGGAAATTTTAAAAATCATTTCACTCATATAACTCGAAACTTAATTCAGGATGTTCTCACATGCCCGTCATGTAAGGTCAATCGAAAAGATGCGATCTTGACCAAATGCTTCCATGTCTTCTGCATGAAGTGCTTAAAAACGAGGTTAGTTCTCGAGCAACTAATTTTGATCCTTGTGAAAATTTCTTATTATGTCTATCTTCCGTGTGCAATAAGCAAAATACAATGTTCTATATACAGTGTACAATAAACAATTTCTAGGTATGACACAAGGCAACGAAAGTGCCCGAAGTGTAACGCTGGCTTCGGAGCGAACGACTTTCATAGGGTTTACATTGGGTAAAGCTAGCACGTTAGGAATTCATTAAAAGAAACACGTAAGTATTTAAATAATTAGTAAAATATCATTTTGCTTGTAATTGAGTTGACGAAATGTTTCTCAAGCATTTTCCTGGTTGCGATGCGATTTGAGTGGTCGATTTCAACTGATTGCCCTACCTCATGCTGAACTACGGTATCTCTCTGCCTTTGTTCACAGTCGGTTGTACTCAGTTCATCGACTGATTTATACAACCGATCGCTTCTCGCCAAGGAACCTGATGCTTCACGCATTTGCTTTGCAGTGAGACTTTTATCTCCATTTGATTATGATGTGTTTTAATGAAAACCTTTCACCATCTATTACGGTCGTAGGCACTCGTTTTTGTGACTGCATGGTGTTCATATTTTGCGGTACAGGTTCTTTCTCGTCGTTTTTGTTCGTGGTCTTGTTCAGTTCGTTTCACTGCAGACAAACATTCTAATTTCCTAATTTAAATGATGAACTAGTTGCTATAGAAACATCACAAATATTTTCGAGTTGTTACTGTTTGGTTATAACACAGAGTAGAGTATGAAACCGTTTCTTTTGTCAGATTTCCGTAGCTGTGAGTGACCACTACCAGTGAATTAATATTCTGTTATACTTCGTCAGTGATTTACAACAAACTCATGCTCTTGATCTTTAGTATTACAATTCCTGCGTTCGTTCCTGCTAATCATATTGTTCAGTCGTTAAGGTTCGTTAGAGAGTTCTGTTTTACGAAATTTATGAAAACTAAAAACTAACTTTGCACCCTTAAATTGTTTAGTGAAACTTCTCTGGGACATAGGATGTATTCACTGAGCACAAAGCTGTTGATTACGGTATGCTACGAGTCCCTTTTCGTGAGATCTTTGGTGTACACGTGAGGTGTTTGAATATTTGTTATCCTCATGTCATTTTCATAAAGTCTCGCTTTTACTTGTTCCAATCCTTATCACATGATTAAAGATCATTGCCAGTTTTATTAATTTTTTAAAACAAAATCCAATAAAGTAAGTCTATCTGAAGTAAGTCTAAAAAAAAGTCTGATTTGTCTATTACCGTGTGTCACAAGTTTTTTGTCAGTTATAAGTGCTTCAGCCGTTAATCGTAAAATGAGTCGTCGTCTGGGGTGACTCGAATATTTGAACATTTGTGGATTTTTGTAAAGTTCAAGAACATAGATGTCCTCAGTTCGGCACCATAACTTTGCCCATCTCGCTATCTTTCTCCTTCCATTGGGTTGGTCCATGGCTCCTCATTGTCACACTGCGAACCTTCAGTGGCAGCGAAATCTGCCTTCCGGTATGTCAAATTCACGAAAGAGATTTAGGAGCAGGGTGGTGCCTTTGTTGCGCTGACTATCAGATTGGAAGAGAAATGGTCAGAAAGACTGTTTGCAGGGAAGGGGCGTATTTCATTGGTGAGTCATCATACTGGTTCCATTATTTTGTCCTTTTTTGCGCATGACTCTTCTGACATCAATTGAAATATTTATAGAAGTTTATTTAAAATTATCGTTTTACATAAGGCTTTTACACGAGAGCACATTTTACACCGTATCACAATTCTTCATGTACCGCCCCTCCTAAACCGTGACCCATCATAAACGGACATCCACCGCCTGATTCACCACCTATCGTTGGATGGTGTGGTGGTATGTTGACTTCCGGCTAAAATGATTATTGGTAACAAATGAAGGGACCATAAAATCTAAGCAAATCGTTTAGATCAGGTGATGTTTTACAGTCACCTGGTATTTCAAACCACGCTAGTAATTTTCCGGACGGAGGTGGTGTAGTGGTAAGTGGCGCACTATCACATACGCATGTCACGCGTTCGAATCCCTTATCGATATTGGCCTAGACCAATCAAGCCCTTCATCCCTTCGAGTCGGATAATCATACCAGACTCGTCTGGGAGTATCAGAGCGCTGACTTGTACATCGGCTGGAGTAGAGGAATGAAAGTCAAATGCCGGTGCGCATCCCTCAGGTCTTCCCTACTTCTATATTCGGTTACTTTGTCTCCCTTTCAATGTACATGTGCCGTCCCGGGAGGCTATAATTCGAGTTCGGGTCTTATCAAAGCAGAACTTTTTGCCTATGCTCAGCGCTTTTGTATAACATTCGCATGAAAATTTGCTTGAAACAACTTTTAGTGACTTAAAACAATTCAATCCAAAGGTTCAAAACTTACCACTCGATAAAAGCTTTCATCTGGTAGAATCATTGTGTTTTGCACACCAAAAACTGTGTCGACTTGAGCTTTTTGAAGAAGACGCAACGGATGTGGATCCTTTACGGAAAGCTCTTCTGCAATGAGTACCACTTTAGAAAGATTTCAAATAAATGAATTGCCGAATAAATGTCATTTAAAAATGATCTCGGCAATTTGCCTGTTACTATTCATATTATCATTACTATTTTATTCCTAATATTCATTTATTCCTAATATTCAGCGTCAACACTAATTGGTTCAGTACATGGTAAGGTGAAGGATTCACTCCGTGTGGCATCTCCATGCAGTGAGTTCCAACAAAAAGTGAAACCTTCCCTCCTCACTTATAAATGAAAGAGGATTGAAGGAATTTAGACTTTTTAACTGCTCTCACAATCCGTTACAATTCAGTTTAGGAGCATAACACTCAGATTACTAGATGGTCTCTATTGTTTGTATAACTAGGGAAAACGTCATAAGTTCAATTTCCATTTATGGTTTGCTATCACTCTTGATTACTTAAGCTCGTCTCAAGTCTAAATTTTTTGCTATTCAGTTCCAGGTTATGCTATTCTGAAGATTATTCTAGATAAAGTTCACCCACTCGTCGCCTCCTCATCATTCCTTGTCTGTATCCATTCCCAAATTCGATCTGAAGTCATTGATGAGTTCAGAAGAAGTTGATGAACATTTGTCTGAAACAGCTAGAGATTGATGGAAAGACGACGTCAAGAAGGAGGAGCTGTTCACCTTGTCTAATAAAAGTATTTGAGGAGTCTTACGAGACTCGATCTTGAACTGCGTCATGATTTCGTCACTTAGTTCCATGTCTCTGAAATTTAAAAAGGAGTAAACGCAGGGGGAATGAGTTCCTAGTGAGGACCAGAGATCGAGCTCAATCCACCAAACCTTCTCCAAGAAAATACGATCTGAAAGTTTTCCAAGACTCGAGAAAAAAGTAACTGGGAATACTGCTCCAAATAATGTTGTTCGGAATGCATGAAGTTCTTTCATAGTCAGAATGGCCCATGGGGACTACATGTGCCGCATAAGATTATAGCTTTGCGTACTGTTTCCGAGAAGACACCTAAGCTACGTGTTCCTACCGAATTCTATAAAAAGGACTAGTGATCCCACATTCTGGTTACGGTGCTTAAAAAAAGGAGTTAAGCCTTTGTATAGAAAATATAGAAAAAGATGAGTCTTTCAAAATTTTTCCTAGAACCAGAAATGTTGCAATGGGGCTGTTATTTATGATTAGGCTCCTGTTGCCTTCAGAAACAGGAATGATCAGTCAATGTGATTATATGCTATATTAGATCTTATCGAAATAATGCAAAATGGTTCCTCGCTTAACTCCAACTAGAGAAGCAGTACCTGTTCAAATAGGTGAAAACGACAGCTCTCCTCGCGTCTTTCCTTGTAGCTAGACTCGTATAAGAAGAATTACCAAATGAAGGCGTGGCCACCAGAATCGCTATTTTGCGCGGCTGTCGGAACAGCAAATTCGTTGTGAATCCTTTTGAAATATCAACCTGAAACAATAGGAATTTTTATGTGAAAAAGCTCATTTGCCCGATATATAGTAATGCCCGCATTAGTATAAACCAGAATACTATGTATTTACTCGAGACAGTTGCGGTTCAGTGGCAAGTGGCGCGCTATCTCACACACATGGTCACGGTTCCAAATCGCGGATCAAATTCGCTATCCGCTAATATCCGCTTGAACCAACCAAGCCTTCTATACTTTCCGGCGTCGCTTAATTGGTACCAGACCCGTATGGTAAAGTAAAAACACTGACTTGTATTTCGGCTGCCCACCGTAAGTGTGGGCCACATTCATTACGTCACCATTAATTCTGATTGGGAGGCGAATGCGGGGCCCATCCCTCAGAAGAGATTGATTAACACCGAAGGACTCTATCCTTTACTTGATTTAAAAAAAAAGTACGAATTTACTCCATAGAGAGTTCACCCTCACTGAGGGATATCTAGGCGGCTTATGACAAGGCTACGAAGGGCGACCCGAAGTGGCGAATAGAAGAGTAAATCGCCGGTACTTGCGCAGAGACGCAGGTGGATTCAGGGGGCCCCCGATACGGCAGCGTTGGGTAGGACCGCTCGGAAGAGGCTGAACAATCTTAGGGCGCACAATCTCAGGGCCAAAACAGGCCGCCCAAAATGGGAAGGAGTGGTATGCAATTTGTATATCGAAATCTGATGATACCAGCTGGCAAGGTCATCGGACCGAAACTAGAAGGCATTGCCCGCGCCGTATCTGAGGTTGGAAAACAACTGCTAATTGAGTATGTGCCGCCGGAGGCGTGGGCGGCGTAGGCGCCCTCGTCAGCACGCACATGGCCACGAACATCGATCACGGGAAGGCTTGACAATCCGCATCGGGCGCTTGCGATGGAGAAGATGTGGCTCAACCCCAGCTCTAAAAATCTTCGTGGTCTACGCACCAACAACGAGCTACAGAGTAGAAGAGCGGCAAGTGCTATATATGAATCTGGAGAGGCTCTACAGAGAAGACCATATTTTCTTTCGTCGGTGATTCCAACTACAAGATTGATCTTAGAAGAACAGCTGAAGAGCTCCTTGAAGATCGAGACTCACGGAGTGAAATGAAATGAGCAGGATGAAAGGCTGTCCGAGTGCAACCTGTCGACCCACACCATCCATGATAGCCGCAGTTCCAGAAGCCCTGCCGATTGCGATGAACTTGGGAGTCACTTGTTGGACAGACGTGTAATGAAATAGGTCGCATCATCTTTAAACGAAAGTTTTGCCTGACTGGCGTCGCTGTTGTTCCAGTTTTAGCTCTACATGGGATCGGACCATCGTCTCTTCCGCGTTAGGTCCTATTTCTCAGTGAGTGGAAAGAGCTATGTAGTCTAGGAAACGAAGTCCCAAAACCTTTCTCAAACGGACCTAGCAGAGTGAATCTCTGTGAAGATTCCGTTATCGAAAATATCAGTGATAATACAACCGGCTCGTCAAACAATTCCACGATAGCGACAGGAAAGCAGAGTCTACAGTAGCCAAAGGACGTTTCTCTTCGAAGACTCCCTAGCTTTCACGCCAGCTTGGAATGAGCTACATGCAATTAATAACATCCAAACATGCAAAGCTATGCAGAGAACGTCAACCTGCCTACCCACCATCTTGACAAGACGAATATATCGCTCCTTGAAGTTAATATATGAAGTCAAAGCTTGAGAATAAGGATCCTGAAGATTGGTAATTGGGAATGACCACTAGTACTCGTTGTTCAAATCAATAGCAGGAGTAAAATCAGCCGACGCTAAGTGTAATGGCACAAATTTAACAAACCCCTTCGATGAAAAGATGTTAGAAATTTGATCTGTTTCTTTTCATAAAGAAAACGAACCTTTTACAACACAATTTAATGAAGGCTCATTTTGTGTGTGGTTCAAAGGGAACAAATTCGTCCATTTCTTCAATGAGAAATGCAGCAATGGAGGGAACTTTCAGCGTCTACGAGCTGAATTCTACTATAGCAGTTATTGCTTTCAAACTGATTCCAGATAAAACGCAAGGTTTGTCCGATTATCACCGCGGATCTCTCAAGTTTCATTCAGTGAACGAAGGATAGAAAGCCTCTAAATGACCGTCACACGAAACAGCCGGCCAAACAGATTGAGGCAAACACGAAGGATTAGAAGTTATATATCATTCAGGTAAGCGACCATGAGGCAGGGTAAAGCTAGCAGCAAGTAGGACGCGATTGGTTCAAAGCTGGTTCTGAAAACGCTTAACTTGTTTCAGTTCTGAATGGTAATGAATAAATTTCTTAGTACTAAAAAGGCAGGTTAAGCACAGGTACTAGGCCAGCTGTTCTTTTGCCTGATAGCAAACTGTATCTAGTCGGCTCACCACATTGCAAAATATTGTGGTAATATTAATGTGTGGTAAGAGTCCATAAATAGATATTACTAAAGTCGAAAGGGTGTACACAAGAAATTTCTAGATTCACATTTCTAGATCTGCCTCAGAAAAGCTTACTGAAACAAGAAACTATTCAGGAGCAGTGAAGCTGGAACATAAAGCAAGACTATCCACAACTACTTCAGCCCAATTAAGAAGTCAAAAGACTATCCTGAACTCAACTACTCAATACAGTGTCTTTCTGCGGTCATAGCTGTTTTGGAGCCCTTCGTCTGTGTAATAAATAATATGATACTTGGTAGTCTGCATTAATAAAAAAGCTCTTAAGAGCGCAGTTCGAAAAGGGACTCTGTCTAAGCCAAAGTAATAGAAGAGGATCACATAGATAGAAAGAAGCTGGGACGGCTGACAAGAATTGAGGTCCCTGCTACGGCGCGGGATTAATACCGGGAAGAAGAAGGTAAGGAGATGGATGAATGGACGAGACTACCCAAGACAAAAGTAATGATCATAGCCGTAAGTGTAATCAAGTGTTAAAATGTTTCGATAACAACTAGTTTTGGTGCATTGTTCCCCTGAGCCCATGTGTGAAATTTGTAGTACAGTGCTTTTGTCATGTCATGCTTTTGTAGTGATCACAAATGGTTACTGTCACCCCGCTGTAAAGATCCATTTGAACTTGCGTTATGCATCAGGGCCTCGAAGGTCCGTCCCAGCGATCTGTGCGGGACTGGTCTCAACGCTTGAAAGACAGAAGCAAAAAAAGTCCTATGTACCTTGCCTCGATCGACCTACTGCAATGTAGCTGGAAGATTTTGAGAGACTGAAAAAATGGCATCCATATGATGGGGTGCGGTATTTTGGTGCCACCCTCATCAAATAACCATATTTTTCTTTAACAGAAGATTTATTGCACAAGCATTAAGGAGCAATACAAAGTCGTTCATCTCTGCTACAAGTGCAACTAGTGCATTGGCAGTCTTCATCAGTTGTGCACGGATCTCCTATGTCGTAAATCAATTGGTCGAGCATATTTCCCCTGCAATTTGATTTTTGAAGAAAGAGTTGAAAGTGGGGACTTCATTACTGGTGTCCTCTTGACTTACGCAGGGTCGTACTCGCATCCTACAAGTGTCATGCTTGGGCACCATTGAACTGCGCAACCTATTTTTTCACTCGATTGCCCAGCCACCTGCAAGGTCTATGACCATTTTTTCCGACACAAATCACTTCGAGCGGCATTGGAGTCTGAAATCACCTGCGTGTAGTGGCCAACAACGCGATTAAAAACTTCTATAGTCAGGATATTATCATCTGGCACACCATTCGACTGTAATTCCGAGAACCAATCCTGGACGCTCTGAAAGTATGAAACCATTTCCGAGTAAGACGCAATTGAGCTCGAAATTCTAACGCTTATAGCAGACTACGTCTTGTTGAAATTACTCTCTGATGTCATCCATAGGTTCTGCACCCAATTGTCTCTTTGGGCATACGAGTCATGTTCGAATATGCACTCTTTTGCATATGCTGCCATATTTGCTTCTACTTCACAGTCGTAACTCTAAAAACCCTTGAACTCAAACTTGTTCAGGTACATTGCTCGGAGGAGATCAAAATCGAAATAATCATCAAGTAAGCAAGGCTACAGTGTCATACCACTTTTAGCATTCGGGCTGCTTTCGGAGCAAATCCTCCAAGTTTATTTTTGGCCTGTCCTTTGGCAATAAGAGATCTGAAGAAGTTGCTCGTCGCACCGGTACTACGATATCAAAGATCTATTATTACATAGACACTACGACCAACCGATACTCATTGTGCTTATCAACGAAAGCCTGCCTAATTTCATCGGTAATGCCATTGTCAGATGAGGGGCAGATCGTAAAGTTTCAAAGTTTTTTTTAAAGTTTAAAAAAGTTTAGTTAAAAGTCATCTCATTTCGATGGTTTCAAAACACTGAGGAGTGCGTACCCTCCAGGCATGATGACCTCAGGAGCACCTGAACGACGTTTTTAAAGAAGGCTCTTTTTGCCAACAGAAATTGAAACTCACCAAGATGGCAATCGAGGTAGATATTTGCATACTTCTCGACGGCTGTGAATGTCCGCAGCACACTACTGGCGTTTTTATAGCTGTTGATGAATCATTTTTTATGAATATCAAAGGCAGTGGCAGGTAATACTTTTACTTCACAATTATTCGAATTCATTACAAGAACAAAGAAAAATCGATGCTGTCCGATTCGTGCTTGAATATGTTTTTTTTTTCTGTTCATTGAGAACACGGTCCAGTTTCCAAAAATACCTTGCAATATTCAGCAAGGCGTAACTAACATGAAAAAAGAAACTAATACATCTTTAGCATATTTTTTTGCACACAGCGCAATTTAAGAGCCCATGAACTTTGCGAAGACTAAGCATGACATAGGGACTAGAAAAGAATGTTTATCAAAGCGCATCAGTTTTTCCTCTCTATCCCACTGTACATTTCAAACAACTAATTATAGGTCACAGTGACAAACTGCCGTTTCTGCCGTCGTTTTCCTTCATGAATTTTTTCAGAGCATCGGGCACTTGCTCACTGGATTGCATCACAGCAATAACTTGGACATGGAATTTCCTGAGAAACTGTTTGACATACTCGCATGAAATACAGTATGGGTTATGGGTCATTATTACATTGGAACGTTGCAACCCTTTTGCCTCGTGTAAAAACTCCTTTCTTTCAACATTGGTCAGAATGTAACATTTTTTCCATTTATTTCTTCGAGAAAGGAAGGAATCATGCTAAAGATGTACTAGTTTCTCTTTTCACGTTAGTTACGCCTTCCTGAATACTGCGATGTATTTTTGAAAACCGAACCGTGTTCTCAATGAACAGAAAAAAAAACATATTCAAGCACGAATCGGACAGCATCGATTTTTCTTCTTTGTTCTTGTAATGAATTCGAATAATTGTGAAGTATAAGAATTATCTGCCAATGCCTTTGATATTCATAAAAAATGATTCTCAACAGCTATAAAAACGCCAGTAGTGTGCTGCGGACATTCACAGCCGTCGAGAAGTATGCAAATATCTACCTCGATTGCCATCTTGGTGAGTTCCAATTTCCAGTGGCAAAAAGAGCCTTCTTTAAGAACGTCGTTCAGGTGCTCCTGAGGTCATCATGCCTGGAGGTTACGCACTCCTCAGTGTTTTGAAACCAATCAAAATGAGACTGCGGTAGTTAAAAAACTTTTTCAGCTGCATTTTGCCCCTCATCTGACAATGGCATGACCGATGAAATTAGGCAGGCTTTTGTTGATAAGCAGAATGAGTATCGGTTGGTCGTAGTGTCTATGTAATAATAGATCTTTGATATCGTAGTAGCGGTGCGACGGGCAAGTTCTTCAGATCTCTTATTGCTAAAGGACAGGCCAAAAATGAACTTGGAGGATTTGCTCCGAAAGCAGCCCGAATGCTAAAAGTGGTATGACACTGTAGCTTTGCTTACTTGATGATTATTTCGTTTACCGTGTTGATCTTCTCCGAGCAATGTATCTAAATTAATTTGAGTTCAGCAGTTTTTAGAGATACGACTGCGAAGTAGAAGCAAATATGGCAGCATATGCAAAAAAGTGCAATTTCGAACATGACTCGTATGCCCAAAGAGACAATTGGGGGCAAAACCTATGGATGATAACAGAGACTAATTTCAACAAGACGGAGTCTGCTATAAATGTTAGAATTTCGAGCTCAATTGCGCCTTACTCGGAAATGGTTTCACACTTTCAGAGCGTCCAGGATTGGTTCTCGGAATTACAGTGGAATGGTGTGCCAGATGATAATATCCTGACTATAGAGGTTTTCAATCGCCATGTTGGTCACTACACGCAGGTGGTTTCAGACTCCAAAGCCGCGCGAAGTGATTTGTGTCGGAAAAAATGATCACTGACCTTGCAGGTGGCTTGGCAATCGAGTGACAAAATCGGTTGCGCAGTTCAATGGTGCCCAAGCATGACACTTGTAGGATGCGAGTACAACCCTGCGTAAGTCGAGAAGGCACCAGTAATGAAGTCCCCACCTTCAACCCTTTCTTCAAAAATCAAACTGCAGAAGAAATATGCTCGACCAATTGATTTACGACATAGAAGATCCGTGCACAACTGATGAAGACTGCCAATGCACTGGTTGCACTGTAGTAGAGATGAGACCCTATGTATCTCCCCAGGATACGCTACGGTAATGTATACGTACAACAGAGAAAACAACAACGAAACCCTACGATAGGAATTCCAAGACGGGTTTGTTACACAGAGAAAGTCTCTCATAAACATTGTCCTACAGATTTAGTAATTACGTGTATTTAGGTCGAGAAACCAACGCGATGAACGACCCCACTCAAGAGATGAATGGAAGGAAACGGGCGGCGTGGGAGGCATTTAAGAATATCGAGGAAGAAGTGAAGAAAACAAAGAATATCATGCTCGCGCTCACCTTTTCGACACTGCTGTTCTCCCTCCTTTGACGTACGCCTCAGAGACTCGGACTAAGCTCAAGCAGAATTAACGTGCAACCAGCGTCATTCAACGTACTGTGGAATAGACGAAGCTCGGAATTTCTTTATTCATGCAAAAGGAGAAGGGATTTCGGGGATCCGAGGTTCCACAAGGTTGGCGATTTGTGGACAAAACTTCAGTCTCGGACGGGACTCGAACCCGAACTCGCCCTTTCCGGGGACCGTGCTCTTGTCCCTTACACCACCGAGCTCCCGCTTCGAATCATAGCGGATTTCGCCGCTCAATTTGTCGCGCGTACCCACAAGCGAACGAATCGTACGCCCCCCGCTTGCCCTCCTTGACCCGAGATCCGTCAACGAACGGAGATCAGGTGTGCAGTTGCTAGTACCAAGGAATTGAAGACCAAGTAGGCCGGACACATGCAAAATCGTGGTGACGGTTAGACTAGGGTGGTCAATGACTGGAGCCTTTGCGACGTCAAACGTACACTAAGATGGCCAGCAAAGGTCAGACGAAAGCTCTGAACGAAAGCAATGCTATTCATTGTGCGATTCACTGGTCAGGGACGACTGGAGACCTTACTTGCCCCCCATTCGAGAAAATCGATGAACAACGGGACGACAGACGATAGAGAAAGTTTCTAAAAAGTAACTTTAGTAGCTAGAAAGATCAAACGTTTCCAGAGGTGCTCCCGTCAACGGGTTATTCCGCGAGCTAAGCACAACCTACGATTTCATTTCTTCACAGCAAGAGCCGGCACGGACTATTTCAAACTTGCTAGAACTATAACTTTCCATTAAGTATACAAGCTTTCAAAAACTCAATCGATCGTTACTTGGTTCCGTAAAGTACCCGTTCTTATGCCGTTGAGTCCCATGAATTAGTTTTTTTTCTTTTATCTTTGTTTACTTTTTTTCTTTACACGCTAGCTTCGTTGGTTGTTTTGTTTTCCTTGCTCTGTTGGTGGAAGCGTATTCTTGGGAGCGCTGCAATGCCATCATCACTGAGACTAGCCCACATCAAGTGCCTCCGCTACTGCTACTCAGATACACTACTCTGCTCAAAGCCTCATTTCCTTCCTTTCTTCCCGTACAAATCCATCTTACAAATAAGGGACACTGCTTGTACATCCATGGCCTGGAGGGCAAATCCTCGACCCTGTTGCACCCAGGGCATTCGACAGGTGTCGTAAAAAAGTATCATACTCGTAAGGGTGCAGGCGCAAATTACATCGTTTGCCTGTGTGCAGTCAGAGCATTTACATCACCGAGTGAAAGCCGAGTGTGTGTGGGGAATCTCTGAGAATTACGAACATCAGCAGGTGCATAGAGTATACCAACCTAGGTAACTCTTTCTTCTTCTCTTCCATTATTAAAGGCACTGTTAACAAAAACATTGTTTCGGACATTTGCACATAGTTTGAATTCGACGCCCCCTCTGATACCATTTGTGCAGGAATGAGGTCGGAAAACGGCTGAATAGGGCACAATCAGGGGCCGGACAGATATCCACGGTCGCCCTCCGCCCCTTGATCGGTGTCACGTTAGACGAGTGTCGGGACGACACAGTGTCATGTAATCGCGCCAGGACCCACCCTGAATTGCAAATTGGCAAATTGCCAGGGACGCAATGTGTTGCATGCTATTGCAGACAACCCATTGCGTCTCTGGCAAGTTGCCAATTTGCCGTCCCTGGCAATTTGCCAACTTGCCCGAACACTCTCTAACCGACGTTCTTTCACTGTGAAACTCGTCCAGCCCCCTTTCCAGCTCTTTTTTTGGCCCTTTTTAATTCTTTTTGTTCATCGTTTTTTGCGCTTTTTTCGTTGTTATCGCTTTATTCTAGAGTAGTTCTATCAATTCCCGGCAGAAAAGGGTACCCTAACTTTTTTGTGATAGGTGCCTTTAAGTTCTCATAATGTGTCAAAAAAAAATGCAAGAAACATTTCAGGCCCTTGCCTGTCAATAGTTAATCGAGAAACTCCTGTGACAGGCACTAAATATACGCCCGTTCAGCGTACATAACATACTATATTACTACATCAGGCTTCTAACCAATATGAAGTGATGAGCATCGTAGCGTTTTGAGACAACTTAGCAAGAAGTATGATTAGTTCAAGCTTACTCACCACGCTAGGAAAAGATGCTGTTGATATAAAAGCCATCAGTGTAGCTGAATCAAATTTGCCAGTGTAGTCTTGTCGTCTTTGCTTCTCGGTTGGACGGTATACCGTCACGGTAGCTGTGCTCCTGAAATTTAGCGCCTTTGTTCTAGATTTTTGTTTGGCTGCTCCTAAGTGCCATCTGTGGCACTGAAGTTGTGGCCGTATTGGTTCATTTCGAGGGAATCGTATCCAGCTCTCGATCGGAATAATTTTACTTCACATTCACACATCGTCAACTGAATTTTGTCTGTCTACAAGTCACAGCTCTAGAGAAAAATAATTCAGCTCTCGTTTCAGAGTAAAAAAAAAACGAAGATCTAGGATATCCAAACTAGAACCTCACAAACATGATTCAAAATCAAAATTCAAAATCGAAAATAGGGCGATGTTGGCAAGGCACAACGAAATTGTGGGTAAAAGCCTGGTTTATAACGTGGAGGCACCTATTCAAACGGCTCGACAAGATAGTCGGTCAAGATGTTCAATACAAACCTACGGCAATATATTTCTCACCAATTACTTCACTCCTACAGAGAGTTGTTTGACGATTGGTGACCCTGATTGGGGTTCAAATTAGGATTTCGCTTCTTTCACTACTAATCACTCCCCTTCCCGCCCGTAGTGTAGGACGCCTCAAAAGCGAATTGGTTTCAATGGTGTATGACAGCGGTCTGTATACTTTAACTGATGCCTTGCCTGTTGTCATGATTCCTGATACCCTGTACTCTATTTGAATTACAGCTGTTGTAGTTCAGTCCATATTCAGGAAAAAAAACACCTATGTTTTGTTCTACTCACTTCAGAGACAAAACAAAATCAGAGACAAAACAAACAAACAAACCAAAGAACAGATCTTGTTATGTCCCACTCACTCTATTTCAATGTTAACCTATGTCTTGATGAGCTCTAGATGTCCTACTCTCTATCAATTCCACCAGCTATTGCTCGTTTTGTCGTTTGAGTGCCTCAACCTTTCCATCACTTCAGAGAGTTGAATCGATGAATAAAATTGCGTCTTGAATGACAAGTGTACGTATAATAAAAGGAAAAAGTAGAATAAAAACGACTGATATCCAGAAAAGTTTCCCCCACTCTGATGTGAATAGAATACTTTTTTTTCTAGTTTTTTATCTAGTTTTTGAAAATGCGATTTGGGCAGTTGTTGGGCCTTGGTTTCCAACACAGCCATTGTCATTTATTTGAGTCAAGGTAAGGATTGTGCGTCTTGTTAGATCAGCCAGATCTTCAATGTCGTTTGAACAATATCAGCAGGGCATTCGGGAATAATAGCCCTGGCATACTATGATTCAGAAGGAAATTCGAATCCGTGCCTCATTTTTCTGAAGGATTAATGGAAGCGAGGTCCTTTCGAGGGAACGAATCTTCAAAACGATGGACCAAACAACACAAGGCTTTCGGCTAGCTCGACTAAACATTTGTCGGCTACCACAAGAAAGTAAGAACTTCATCCCGAAACCCTTCAATTAAAACTAGATCCCTTGCTCCCCACTGGAAGCAAAGCAGGGTCTGTACTCCCAAGCATGACATCATACCGCTACACTGCGTTGACTACCACCAGACAGTATCAGATCAAAGGATATGAATATAAATGAACAGGCAAAGTCACACTCTATGTTGTTTGAGTGTATACTTATAGATGCAGATGTATTTATTTAGATAGATGTATTTATAGATACATTCTAATAGTTTTTATATATTTAGCAACCCATATTTTAAATTTTTAGTGATAACTATGTAATTTACCCCGGCTTTACGATAACTGCGATGAAGTATCGTCCATGAAGTCGTTCGGCAGCGATCTTGAAGTGTTGGTATTCGGCGCAATCTCGATCAGAGAACGTACCAATGGTGGTCGGGTGCGGACTGGAACCAAAGATGAGACCTGAATTTTAGAATTTCAGTAATTTTTCCTCTGCAAATGCGCGGTCTGCAGATTGGTATCCGTAAAATTAGTTGTTCGGCCTTATTCTTCTGATTTTGGTCGCTTTTGCGATAATAGACAAGAATACGCGATAGATAATAGACAACAATAAAATGAGTGTATACCGTTGAGTAAAATTCGTTCAATAAGCATAAAAAACTTCTTGTGCAGCGCTCAGAAATCGCAAATACCTCATGAATGAACTAATAAGTGAAATGTGGATTGTAGGCATGTTTCAACCGGAATTGACTAATGAAAAAGTGTTGCATTCTTCTGTTCGACTAGCTCCACCTTTGAATTAGACATGGTATGTGCGGAAGAGATGACCCCGACCAAAGTGAAAGGTCTGTATGAGGTGCTATGCTACTTCTAACTTAGTCTAGGAAATTCACCTTTCCATTTTCGAAGGTTTTCTTTCCGCAACTGCTTCTCAAACACTAGGCGGCCGTACGTAGTTTGAAATAGACTTTATGGCTTACCTCTTTTAGCTTTCTTCACAGAATCATCGTTTCCCAACTCTATGAGAGGGCCAGATACCATCCTGCAAATAGTCTACCAGTGTGTAGTGCAATGGGTAGAGTAGCTAATGAAAAAAAGAAGAAAAATCCGAAAATAAATCTGATCAGGTAAAAAACCCTTTTGCAATCCGGCTATAGAATAAATTCAGATGACTGCAAACTTACAAGTATATCCATTGTAAATAGTATGCCT